TGACCAACACGTTTTGTTCTAACCAAAGACTTCATATTATTCTCATCCTGAGACAATTCCTGCAACACAATAAACCAAATTGTATGAGGAACGCACAAATTTTGAATACTTGATATGCATTGTTAGTAAAGATCTTGAACTTGTTTCAAAGGATAGAAAACAGAGATCACAGAATTCAACTACGGTTAACATTTTCATGTACAAAGAAACAATGTAAGACTTGAACGCGCTTCAACTAATTCAACATACATAGAGAGTACCTTCTTGTTTGTGATTTTTTTCTGACTAACATCGGCTGGAGCTTCATCCCCCAGAACCTGAAAATTGAAACCAATTCACATATACAGCTAGAGGCCAAGACGAAAGTGCACAGAAAAGTTAAAAGAACTATCTTTCTAACCTTTGGAATGCGTTTTCTTCTTAAACTGCCACTAGTTTGGGGTTGTAGCTTCCCTGTGGGTACAACATCACAATCAGTGGATGCCTGCCTTGAAGGTTTTGGCTTTCTCTTGTTAGCATTCTCACCAGAAGAGATTGCATGAAGGAGACTATCATCATCTGGTTCTGCATTTGCTTTTTCCCCATTACTGCTAGAGGGCGTAGCTTCTGGTGTACTAGATCTCTCGTCCATGTTGTATTCTGTTCTTTCTTCCTTCAACCGAGCAGATGATTCTGGACCCAATGCAATATAGTTAACTTAACAAATCCAGGCAGGTAAAGGCCCTAATACGAACAATGAAAGCTGCAGAATTAACCCAATCTACATACTCAACGAGAAAAAATCTAGAAAAACCAGAAGTATTAGGTACATTCAGGCGCCATGGTTTAAGTTACAAGAAAAAGCAAACAAAGCTCACCTGATTCCATCAAAGTCGCTGGAATCATTGAAGCTGACAATTCGGCCAATGCTTGCAGAGCATCAAATTCATCTACACAGGAAAAGACTGGCAATAAGTTTAAGATCACTATATGTTTTTAGCAGAACATGAAGATAGTTAGTTTAAATGGACAATGCAGAAAAGATAAATAATCAAATCTCACAACAGTAGAGCTTGTAACGAAAAATGAGTTAACGGGACGGCTATAAGAGATGATAAATATTTCTAACATAACATTGGACCTTCGAAATGAAAATCAGGTTCAAGTTAAATCTATTATTGACTGTTACCTCCGGAAGTAAGTTTGTTATCTCTTTTCTTTGCACTGTGTGATAAATATTTCCCTCTTGAGGCTTCCATAGCTGCCTTTCGTCTCTGTGATTTAATTCTGAGTCCCTCTGTGGCACTGCATGCTTCTCCATTGTCATCAGAAACATTACCTTCTGCTTCTTCAACTTCGACTTTCACCCTTTTCTTGTAGAATCTTTTCCCCTTCCGTGCAGCTTCCAATTCGCTAACCCCTTCCATATCCCCCAACAAGGCAGTATCTTTATCAGATTCAAGCTTCCTTTCTTGGCTACTTCCCACCCACTCCTCGAAAACGGAGTTGTCGCAGTGCTTTGATTGAGATTTTCTAGTTCGCGACTAGCAAAAGGACAAAGTTGAATAGAAGCAAGTTTACACAGAGAATTACATAAAAGATAGCTGCTTGAAAATGTTCTAAAGCTCGAGAGATACCATATTCCCCCAGCTTTTTATTGGTGAGCTAGCGTTAAGCTCTGTTCTTCTATTTGGTGATTCAGAAACTTTTGAAGACCCACCTCTTCTCGATGCATCTGTTAATGCTAACGCTAAAAAATGTGCTACATCATCATTGGCATCGAATTGCTTCCTAGCTCTTTTATTTGGTGGAGTGAAGCATTCTCTATCATCCCTCATATATGAATTTTGTACAGGAACCCGTGGTGTACGTTTTCCAGTGGCATGTCGCTGAGTTCCTACAGGAAGTAAGAAATAAATTTACACATTCTTGAAAGAAGTGGTTTACAGGTACTAGACAGGTGGATATTAATTCCTGGACTATACAGAGTCAATAACAAATACAAAACAGGTAATCAACTTCCTCACCAGCTTAAATGATATAATGAGGGAGAAAATCATATAATGATGATTTGACTTAGCTTCTTCAGACAAGAATAAAATTTAGAAGACTGATGAGTTAACACAGCGTAACTCTTTACCATTAGCTCGTGCTTGCTTCAAAAACGTGAGGCATCCATCTGTTGAAGCAACTCCATGTTTTATATCAACTTCCTCCCGAGAATCGCTAAGCTGAGGTTTAGCACGTTTGCGCTTTTGTTGTTTCCTTGGTACTTCTGAAGCATCATGGCCTTCTCCTTCACTGCCACTCCCTTCCTAGAAGAAATACCATACAAATGGTTACAATCCTGTCCACATAACTTATTAACATACAAATTGACCCAACAGATAGACCACATAGGGTACACAAAACTCAAAGTTTTATATGTTGTCAGTGTTACTCTCTACACACGTTAACAATTTAAGTGTTTTCACCAACCAACCACGAAATTTCATTTTTCATCTACTGGCAGAGCATTTCACATAATATCTCTTGTGCGGAAGCCCTAATAAAATAGATTTCTCACCATGACACTGTAGTGATCTGTCATCATTGCAATCAGGCCAGCTACAGAGGCAGTTCCCTCGGGAAGAGATAAATATGCCTGGAAGAACAAGCAAATCTTAAAGTTATGTAGGTTTTAAAAAAAATCAATTAAAGCTTGGAAAAGAAACTTGCCACATCGATACTAAGTAAAACCGAAACATAGCATGTCCTTACTCATACCCGATTCATATTAAATAGAGCTTCAACCATGTCAATTGACCTGCTATTCCGAACCGCAGCAGCAACCTGTACAAAAATTAGTCTTAAGAACTCTGATGCCACTGAAACTCAGATAAACATATGTGAGTGAAACAGTTATATACCTTTTTCCACTCATGCCCGTGCTTCCGATAAGCGTCATAGAAACGCTCAAGTTCTACTCTGGTCCACTGAGGTCCCAGCTTGTCAGACAATTTCTTCTTCTACGATGAGCAAAGAAAGCTTAGTTATAATAATACATAAGAGTAAGCATGTCATTAAACTTTACAGAATTAAAGACACGATTTTACTCACACGCTGCTTATTTTTTCTGGAGCTCCCAGCATCTTTTCCTGGGGAACTTTCATTCGTGAAACGCTTGTTCACACTCCTCGACTTTCGAACCGGCGCCATTTTGCAGGTCTCTCTGCACACGAATTTCAAATATTTAGAAACCAATAATGCAATTGTTATTATAAAAAAAAAGACAAACTTTAAACTGGTATGGACAAGAAGGCACGACACTAAATTAAGAAGCAGATTTGGCTTCCCGACAAACTATGAATTGCAATTTCTGCCAGGGGGGCAAAAAAATCAAGAGATCGGCTTTGAGCTAAGAGAAAAATCAAACCTTTAAACTTTAAAACAAGAGCGTACAACCAATTCTTGGATCAGACAAAAAAGCAGTGTTGGGGAAGATAAACAGCTGCAGTAATCGAGGAGACGGGAGGAAAATAACGAAAAATCAGAATCGGAATTAACTTCGGGTTTTCAGAAATTCAGGAATTAATTACCAACAGCGACGAAATACAAAAAAAAAAAAAAAAAAAATCACTCACAAAGGAAACAAAAAGTCAGAAACTCGAATCCAAATTTAAGTGAAAATGTATTTAAATTTGAGAGAGAAGAACACACAGAATCAAATCGAAACTTCCATCGCTTAACCCAAAATAAAACGCAGACTCCCACAAATCTGAAACTGAAAACAAAAATTTGAAAAAAAAAAGAAAACTTTCAATCGAGTGAGCTGAGCTTCCAAAAACCAATTAAACCCCAGTTGAGGAGAACAAAAGGAACTCGATTCAAAAACCAAGTCACTTACTAACACATAACAAGTGTAGAGAAATTCCAAATTTTTTCCGGGAAAATTTAGAAACCAAAACGAAAGAAAATTTGAAACGGAAAAAAAGGAAAACCCTTTAAAAACCCTAATCGAAGCAGATCCACTCACCAATTAGGGGACTTGAAGAGTGAAATAGATAACCAAAACAAAGGGGTTGGTCGGAGGTGAGAGGTAGAGATAGAGAAAGGTCGAGCCTTTACTTTCAAAAACAAAAGAGAGAGAGAGAAATCGATTAGAGAAAATTTAAAAAGAAGGGTTTTAGAGAGAGAAGTGAACTGAGGAAGAAGAAATTAAAAAAGAAAACAAAAAAAAAAAGAGAGAAGAGAGAGAGAGAGAGATAGAGGAATGAGAAAAATGAGAAAGAGGTGTGTCGTGTGTGTGTGTGGGTGTCTAGTGTTGCCGCGAAACTTGAATACACAAGGACGTCTTCAGCCAATCGCCTTTCTCGATTTGTCACTTTTTTTCCTTTTTTTTTTCTTCAAGTATCACAAGCTCGTGCATGTGCGATCTTGAACGTCCACGTGGATTGTAATGATGTTTTACATCGTTCGATTGCTTCAGTTTCACTTGTTGTGGATTCTGGGATCGGCAGCAGAGGATCATATTTGAAAATAGTATTGGAAAAAAAAAACAAATTTGAAGATCTCTCTATAATAACTCATCAAATCTCCAAAAACGACAACCCATTAGATATACTTTTTATACTTAAACGGGCGAATCGGCTACATCTGATCCCATATTGGGCTTAAGTACAAAGCCCAAATAAGAAGCCATAACATATTATAGCCCTCAAAGTTATGAAAGAAAGAGACGGGCGACGGCGAAGATCCGACCGGGTTGTACGACCCGAATAGTCACGTCGATTAAGAACTCGCCAAGGAATCAGTAGTTTCAATTGAGACTAGTTCAGAGACACCCCAACTTTTCACAAATCCCCTCTCTCACAGCTTTTAAAAATAATTTATGAAGTGGAGTACTCGGAGTATTTTTTCTTTTTGTAGTTGATTTGGTAAATTAGAACTGGGAAAAGTGGAAACTTCCTTAGCAACAGAGAAAGTTGGTCTAATGGACAAGTTTGACGCAAGTGGCACAAATTATTGGCTATAGAGAGAGAGTTAGGTAGGGGATGGACAAGTCTACTCCGATAGCTTTTAGCAATTGAGTTGAGTTATATTTTCTCTGTCTTTAAAGAAAGAGAGACCAGACCGAGAAGCCAGCCACCATAGTGGTTACAAAACAAACTACAAAAATGCTGATTCCAGGCCCTTGTAGTATTATTTTCTTTCTCCTGGGTTCCCTCCTTCTTCACACTCTTGCATCATCTACTACCAGGATACACTATTGCCGCCATGACCAAAGGGATGCTCTCCTCGAGTTCAAGCACGAGTTTCCGGAGGCAAATGAATCGAAGCCAAGTCCATCGTTAAGTTCATGGAACAAGAGTAGCGATTGCTGTCTTTGGGAGGGTGTCACGTGCGATGCTAGATCTGCCGAGGTGATTTCACTTGACCTTAGTAATGTCCTTCTCAACAACACTTTGAAACCAAATAGTGGTCTTTTCAAGCTCCAACAACTTAAGAACCTTACTCTTAGCGATTGCCATCTCTATGGAGAGATTACTTCTTCAATAGGAAACCTTTCTCGTCTCACCCATCTTGACCTTTCGAGTAATCAACTGACAGGTGAAGTTCTGGCTTCGATCAGCAACCTAAACCAACTAAGATACCTTTTACTTTCCGATAACAGTTTTAGTGGTGATATTCCTACTTCATTTGCCAATTTCACTAAGCTCTCTAGTTTAGACTTCTCAACCAACCTATTCACATTGGAAAATTTCCCTTTCGTGCTAGCAAACCTGACCAGCTTGTCCTCCTTAAACATTGCCTCTAATCACGTTAAATCCGCGCTTCCATCTGATATAAGTGGACTCCACAACTTGGAATATTTTGTTGTGCGTGAGAATTCGTTTTTCGGAACTTTTCCTACATCTTTGTTCACCATTCCTTCGTTGAAATATGTTTTTTTGGAAGGAAACCAGTTCATGGGACCTATAAAGTTTGGGAATGTATCTTCATCGTCTAGGCTTTCGGAGCTATACCTTGCTCATAACAAATTTGATGGGCCAATCCCTGAATCTATATCTGAGTTTCAGAGTCTCATAGTATTAGACATAAGCCACAACAACTTAGTAGGGACAATTCCCACTTCTATATCAAAGTTAGTCAACCTCCAGCATCTTAGTCTTTCGGACAATAAGTTAGAAGGCCATGTACCAGGTTACTTATGGGGACTGATGACAGTGACACTTTCCCACAATTCTTTCAACAGTTTTGGAAAGCCGTCGTCACTGGGACGAGAATCACTGTTTGAGTTGGATCTTGGTTCGAATTCACTTGGAGGACCATTTCCGCAATGGATCTGCAAGCAAAGGTTCTTAAAGTTCTTGGATTTGTCCAACAATCTCTTCAACGGCTCAATACCTCCTTGTTTGAAAAATTCCACTTATTGGCTTAAAGGGCTAGTTCTGCGCAACAACAGCTTCAGCGGGGTTCTTCCGGACGTGTTTGTCAATGCTACCATGTTACTATCACTTGACGTTAGCTTCAACCGTTTGGAGGGAAAGCTTCCAAGATCGCTAATGAATTGCACTGGTATTGAACTTGTGAATGTGGGCAGCAACAGAATCAATGACACTTTTCCATCCTGGTTGGCTTCTCTACCATCATTACGTGTCCTCATCCTCAGATCTAATGCGTTCTACGGGTCTTTATATCATGACCACAAATCCATTGGGTTTCAACATTTGAGATTCATCGATTTATCACAGAATGGTTTCAGTGGAACTCTGTCACCTTTGTATTTCTCCAATTGGCGTGAGATGGTGACATCAGTCGGCTCTGATCTAGGTACGGAGGATTTGTATATGGGCGAGGAAGGCCCCGAGTTCAGCCATAGTAATTCCATGACTATGATATATAAAGGAGTCGAGACTAAGTTCACAAAGATCCCATATTCCTTCAGAGCCATTGACTTCTCTGGAAACAGATTTTGTGGGAGCATACCTGAATCCATTGGTTTGTTGATGGAACTGCGTCTTCTCAATTTGTCAGGTAACGTATTCACAGGAAACATCCCTCCACCATTGGCAAATTTGACAAACCTCGAGACGTTAGACGTATCTCGGAATCAGCTGTCAGGTCACATTCCTCGAGATCTTGGTAGCCTTTCTTTTCTTTCGACCATGAACTTCTCCCACAACCTTCTCGAAGGTCCAGTTCCACAAGGCACACAGTTTCAAAGCCAAAACTGTTCTACATTCATGGACAACCTCAAGCTCACCGGTCTCGAAAAAATCTGTGGCGAAACTCATGTCCCGAGTTCTACACCTCGAGAATCCGAGGAATTGTCGGAACCAGAAGAACAAGTGATTAATTGGATAGCAGCAGCAATAGCATATGGACCTGGTGTGTTTTGTGGATTAGTTGTTGGACATATCTTTGCTTCACGCAAACACGAGTGGCTCATGGAAAAGTTCCGTCGAAACAAGCGCATAGTAGTCATAAAAAATGCTCGTTGAACACCATCATCTCTCACAATCTCATTGTGAAACATATATGTTTGTTATGAAATATGTCACGTATGTTGTACATATAAATTCTTTTTGTTTGTAATTTTCTACTTTCCGGTATTGTAATAAGTTGCTTTGGTGGTATCTGATCAGAAGATTATTTCATTTCATACTCCCAAAAGATTATTGCTTTTCTCACACGTCACTCTTGCTGCTGCCTTGTGTCGAATTGGATTTGGGAAATTCAAGAAGAAAAAGAAGAATGGACTAGTGTGAGGGTTGTTATGCAATTATCTTTAGTCATGCACATTCTTTAAGATTTAAAATAATATGGGGGCCGTTTTACAATTCTCCTTAAATATACACATTTATCTTCTCACAGTCATGTGTGATTCTCCTGCAATCGCCGGCGATGATTCCTCTAACTCTTTCTTCGCCGTCTCTGAATCGGCTCGTTTTGCTCTCCTCACGTTACTCTCACTCTCCCTTTCTCCGAAACTTCAAATCTCTCCCTTTGAGCCACCGGAAATTACCGTACATACCTCCTTTTGGCGTAAGGTGCCATGTCAGTAGCAGCAGTTCTTCGTCCTTCACGGCAAAGTCTTCTAAAGAGATTCGTAAAGCTCAAACCAAAGTAGTCGTTGACGAGAAGCTTAGCTCAATCCGGCGGGTGTTTTCTGATCCGGGTGTTGGAATCGATGCTTATATCGTACCTTCACAAGATGCACATCAGGTAAATTTTCTTTTAAAACTGTTCGTACATGAATTGCATTAAAATTAGAGAGTTTTCTTGTGATTACACACATTGGGATGTGAATGGGAAGTTATGGTAGATTCAAAACTCAGTTTCTTGATGCTTTTGCAATGTCTTTCAGTTTGCATCTTTCAACTGTTTCGAACTTGTAAATTGTGTTAGGAATTCATAAAATTAGCTTGCTCATATTTTCATCAAGATATGCGATTGGTTTTGCTATTTTGTTATTAGTAATATGTTGCTTTTTTTGGGGTTATTTGAGATGTTTCGATGAATTTTACATCATAGGAGCTTAAGATCTTGTGTCATAGAAAAGTCAAAATTTTATTTTCTGCTTCTAAATGTTTCCATAAACTGCCTGGGTGTTTCATGGCTTGAGTGTAATTTTTTTGGGTCATATTTGTACTAGAGCGAGTTCATCGCAGAGTGCTATGCGAGGAGGGCTTATATATCAGGATTTACTGGAAGTGCTGGTACCGCTGTTGTCACTAAGGATAAGGCAGCTCTATGGACAGATGGCCGCTATTTTCTTCAGGTTTTGTTCATATTCATCCTTTTGAAATCATTGATTTTCATCTTGTACATATATTTGAAAGCATTTGTGGGGTTTCTTATCTACATTCACTACAATGTATCAAAGGCGGAGAAGCAATTAAACTCTAGTTGGATTCTCATGCGGGCTGGTAATCCGGGAGTCCCTTCGGCAAGTGAATGGGTAGCTGATGTTTTGGCTCCTGGTGGAAGAGTTGGTATTGACCCTGTAAGCTACCATCAAACCTTCTAAATTGTCTTTTTTTTTCTTAGTATTCAATCTTAGATAGTTTCAGTACCCGCATTTGAGAAAGTCGTATTTCTTTCCTTTGTATCATTCTTGTCTTATGAACTTACATAAGAGCATTTGAAAAACTCTTAAAAAGTGAACCCGACTTTTGTATATGTGGCAAATAGTATAAATTATGTCATACTTGCCCAAAGCACTCCGCTGGAATTGGGTTGTGTTTGGGTAGCGAGAGAAGAGATACACTGTATTGTAGTTTGTGATTCGTATTTACAATGCTTTGGAATTTATGAAGGGAGCAGTTCCTTTTTTCCGCTGATGCTGCTGAGGAATTGAAGGAGGTTATAGCAAAGAAGAATCATGAGTTGGTTTACTTGTACAATGTAAACCTTGTGGATGAGATATGGAAGGACTCAAGGCCAAAGCCTCCAAGCAAACAAATAAGGATACATGACTTGAAGCATGCTGGTATAGATGTGGCCTCAAAATTGTTGTCTCTGAGGAATCAAATTATGGATGCTGGCGCATCTGCCATTGTGATATCCATGCTTGATGAGATTGCATGGGTGCTAAATCTGGTAATACTCTAGATAACCATTACCTCAGAATATGTTAGTTTTGTGCCACTAACCTCAGCTTAGTCTTCACTTAGGTCCCAATATATTGATTTCGTATTGTGCCTTTTTCTGATTACAGAGAGGGAGCGATGTTCCACATTCACCTGTAATGTATGCATATCTGATTGTAGAGGTTGACCAAGCCCAACTCTTCGTGAATAATTCTAAAGTAACGGCAGAGGTGAAAGATCATTTGAAAAACGCAGGGATAGAAGTTAGACCTTACGATTCCATTCTTCAAGAAATAGATAGGTACAAAATTGATTGTCAATGTCCATTTATAAGCTTCAGATAAAGTAATATGCCTCACTTTGAGTTTTCTCAGTCTGGCAGGACGTGGGGCTCAGCTCTTGATGGATCCTTCAACCCTCAACGTAGCAATCATTAGTACGTACAAATCTGCGTGTGAAAGATATTCGAGAAAATCTGAAAGCGAGGGAAAACCTAAGACAAAGTTTACTGATAGCTCCAGCGGAGATATACCGAATTCCTCTGGCATTTACATGCAATCTCCTATTTCTTGGGCAAAAGCCATTAAAAATGATGCCGAGCTACAGGGAATGAAGAACTCTCACTTGAGGTAAAGAACCCCGTTGTAATACCATGTTTTCCTAATCCAACCACTTTTAGAGTATTCAAGTTTCATCTGGCAGATTTTGGTTTGTTTTGTACTTTCTATATGGGAAAATGCTGCTGCTCTTAGCTCACTTTAGGAAAATTTTGGTTTCTTTTTTCTTTTTTTATGTGAAATGTCTTTGGCTCACCTCTTATTTTATGCAGAGATGCTGCTGCTCTAGCTCATTTCTGGGCTTGGCTGGAAAAAGAAGTGCATACTAATGCGAACCTAACAGAGGTCGATGTGGCAGACAGGCTTCTTGAATTTCGTTCACTGCAAGATGGATTTATGGATACAAGCTTTGATACAATAAGTGGTATGATTATTGTCATCCTTGTTGCTGGATTGCTTCTTCATCCCACATAGTCGATATACACTCAGTGAGTGATATGCATTCCTTTCCTCAAATTACTCCTGCAGGTTCCGGTGCAAATGGTGCTATTATACATTATAAACCCGAGCCAGAGAGCTGCAGTCGCGTAGACCCTCAAAAACTTTTCTTGCTGGATAGTGGCGCTCAATATGTTGATGGAACAACAGACATCACTAGAACAGTACATTTTAGTGAACCTTCTGCCCGAGAGAAAGAATGTTTCACTCGAGTTTTGCAGGTGGGGGATTTGGCTCCTCTTTCCCCATCATTTTTATGACCATTGATTACCTATCTTGAACAGACAAACCTGTGCAGGTTGCTTTGTCTAATTGGTCTTTTGGTTGTAGGGTCATATAGCTCTTGATCAAGCAGTGTTCCCAGAAGGTACTCCTGGTTTTGTATTGGATGGGTTTGCACGCTCTTCTCTCTGGAAAATTGGACTTGATTACCGCCATGGTACTCTATTCTACCTTTCCACCTTTCTTTATAACAACTTTTTTGGTAAGGAACTCATGGTGATCTGATATTTTGTCTGCTTAACAGGGACAGGACACGGCGTAGGTGCTGCACTCAATGTGCATGAAGGTCCTCAAAGTATTAGCTTTCGGTATGGAAACATGACCCCTCTTCAGAATGGCATGATAGTAAGCAACGAACCTGGATATTATGAAGACCATGCATTTGGAATCCGAATTGAGGTGTGACTTACAGTCCATGAGAATCTTTACAATACATATAAGTTTAGGGTAACAATAGTATTGTCTGCTATTACAGAATCTCCTTCATGTGAAAGATGCTGAAACACCAAACCGCTTTGGTGGGGCTACATACCTTGGATTTGAGAAGCTTACATTCTTCCCTATTCAGGTACTCTCATTCATCTGGTCAGAGGAGCCTTTTGCTTTTCTTTAGCTTTTGATCTCACACACTTCTTACTTACCAAACTATGCAGTTAAAAATGGTTGATGTTTCTTTGCTATCTGATACTGAGATTGAATGGCTTAATAGTTACCACACGGAAGTCTGGGAAAAGGTTAGTCAACATAACTACTTTTGGCTTACCTTCTCCAAAGCCAAGAAAATGAGTCTAAGCTACAAGGCCTGCGTGTGCCTTCAAAGCAATGCTATGAACACCTAAAGGAAACATAGCTTTGATTATTTTCTTACTGTAATAGATCAAAGTCTTTTTACATATAGCTGCAGTTGTTTGAACCGGGTAATATTTCCTTGGCAGGTCTCACCATTATTGGAAGGTTCTACTACTCAGCAGTGGCTCTGGAACAACACAAGACCGTTAGCCAAACCGTGATTAGAACCGCCAAGTGTTATTTCTACTTGCAAACTTAAGACTTGATCTACCAAAACTACTCCTTTTATTTGATCGTGCGTGTAAATTACAAACAGAGAATATGATCCAGCGTATTTCCTGTATTTTACAAAAAAGTTCAAAAATTAAAATAAACAGCAAGGAGAAAGAGACTCGTGACAAAGATTCAAAGGATAAAGAAGAAGACTACTAACTACCAAGTCTTGTTGGATATATAAGATAAAACATAAAGTGTTTACCTTGGAGATATTGGTTGGTGAATGAATTCGAGATGGGTGATTCAGAAACTGAGCTCTCACCTTCCTTCTTGCTTGTCTACCGTTTTGTCCCCTTCGAAAATCCTAATCCGGCAAAGTCCAAGATATCAAGTCTCCACTTTTCTCCTTAATCATGTCGATCTGAGCCATCTCTTATCCATCTGTGGAAGAGAAGGCTGGTTTCCTCATCTGGGTCCTTGTCTTCACGCCTCCATTGTCAAAAATCCTGAATTTTTCGAGCCTGTAGATGCTGACATCCATCGAAACGCTCTTGTTGTTTGGAACTCTTTGCTTTCTCAGTATGTGAAATGTGCCAAGTTAGTTGATGCGCTTAAGTTGTTCGACGAAATGCCCATAAGAGATGTTATTTCCCAGAATATACTGTTTTATGGGTTTCTGAGGAACAGAGAGACCGACTCTGGTTTTGTATTGCTTAAACAAATGCTTGGGTCTGGTGGGTTTGATCAAGCGACCTTGACGATTGTTTTATCAGTGTGTGATAAGCCAAAATTCTGTTTGGTGACCAAGATGATTCACGCTTTAGCAGTTTTAAGCGGTTATGACAAGGAAATATCTGTTGGGAACAAATTGATCACATCCTATTTCAAATGTGGGTGTTCGGTTTCTGCGAAACAGGTTTTTAATGAGATGGAACATAGAAATGTCATCACATGGACAGCTGTGATTTCGGGTCTGATAGAGAACGAGTTAAATGAAGATGGTCTAAGACTGTTTAGTTTGATGCGTAGAGGACTGGTCCATCCAAACTCAGTAACTTATTTGAGTGCTCTAGCTGCTTGTTCAGGCTCGCAGAGGATAGTGGAAGGGAAACAGATTCATGCCCTTTTGTGGAAATTTGGGATTGAATCAGAATTATGCATTGAGAGTGCGCTAATGGATATGTACTCTAAATGTGGAAGCATTGAAGATGCGTGGAAGATTTTTGAGTCCACTGAAGAAGTTGATGAAGTTTCCATGACTGTGATATTAGTTGGTTTAGCACAAAATGGGTCAGAAGAAGAAGCTATACAGTTCTTCATTAGAATGCTTCAAGCTGGTGTAGAGATTGATGCAAATGTAGTCTCAGCTGTTCTTGGAGTTTCGTTTATTGATAATTCTTTAGGTCTAGGCAAGCAACTGCATAATTTAGTCATCAAACGAAAATTCTCCGGTAACGCCTTTGTCAACAATGGACTCATTAATATGTACTCAAAATGTGGAGACCTGAATGATTCACTAACTGTCTTTAGACGAATGCCTAAGCGGAACTATGTTTCTTGGAACTCGATGATTGCAGCATTTGCTCGCCATGGTCATGGATTAGCTGCCTTGAATCTATACGAAGAAATGATTACACAAGACGTGAAGCCTACAGATGTTACCTTTCTATCACTACTTCATGCTTGTAGCCATGTAGGGTTGATCGATACAGGCCGAGAACTCTTAAATGTGATGCAAGATGTCCATGGAATCGAGCCTAGGACAGAGCATTATGCATGTATTATTGACATGTTTGGTCGTGCTGGTCTTATGAAAGAAGCAAAGAGCTTTATAGACTCATTGCCTATGAAACCTGACTGTATAATTTGGCAAGCATTGCTTGGAGCTTGTAGTTTCCATGGTGAAACAGAAGTAGGGCAATATGCAGCTGAGCAGTTAATTCAATCTGCACCTGATAGCTCAGCAGCCCATATCTTGATGGCTAACATTTACTCAGCCAGAGGGAAATGGAAGGAGAGGGCAAAGACGATCAAGAGAATGAAAGCAATGGGAGTGACTAAAGAAACAGGCATAAGTTCGATCGAAATTGAGAATAAAACACACAGCTTTGTGGTTATGGACAAATTACATCCACAAGCAGAGGCTATATATGATGTTCTGGCTGAATTGTTTCCAGTTATGATAGATGAAGGTTACAGACCTGGTAAGAGGTTTATTCTCAGTTATACAGGAGATGACAGAAACGGCCCAAGTTTCTTAGTTCCTTAACGCTTTCTTTCTACATGAATATACATATCAGGAGTAAAGAATAAGAATCTGAATATACATTAAAGTTTAATTTTGGTAGCTGAAGACCCCTCTCGCTGAAACAGAGGCTTCACTGTTTTGTCTCTTTATCAGTTTATCTTCATATATGGACATTTGTCTGGTCATCGGTTTACGCCTCAAAGGGACAAACTTAGGGAAGAGACAAGGTAAGCGATACAATGGAATATCTTCGTGTATTTGCTTTGGTACCTAAAATCTCTTTCTTCTCCAATTCAAGAAATTCAATTTCTCCGCTGTTCATCCCGAGTTGCAGAGGGAAAAGCAGAGAAGATCCACTCTCTAGCTCTTCACCGTACTCAATACTTGGAGTAGAGCCAAGCTGCTCATCTTCCGAGCTTAAGGCAGCTTTTCGTGCCAAAGTATGCATCCAAGAATCACTAATTTGTACTTTCTTTCCGCAAAGTATATCCTTTGATACAACTTTTAAATGGGTCCTGAGTTGTTCTTTACACACTTTAACTTGTCTCTGTTCTTCCCCTCCTCGTTTCTCAAGTTTTGGATTTTTCATATATATCAGTCTTGTTGACTATTTTGTGTTTTGCAAAGGTGAAACAATACCATCCTGATGTAAACAAAGAGAGAAGCAACTCTGATATTATGATTCGTCGCATAATCCAGGCATATGAGGTCACTTTAACTGTGTTCTACACTATGTGAGCAGATCTGGCTATAACTTACAGTTGCTCAAAAGTATTATTTTTTTGCAGATGTTAACAAACTATAGCCGGTCAGAGATAATTGAAGGGTATACTCATAATACTCTTCTAGCACAATCTATTTATAACACAATATAGGATTAAGAATGATTTTGGAATGCGAGCCGAAACAACGAAGTAATTCTTTCTGTGAATTGCATTCTAGAGAATGCTTGGACCCTTTTGACCATCCAGAGTGTGAGGCACTTGAAGTGTTTGTAAATGAAGTTCTCTGTGTTGGAAAAGGTACCAATTCCTCTTTATTGTATTAGCTATTTTTAAGTTCTCCATTTCTTCTTAATCATCGTTTGGAGACAAGTTTTAAAACAATTATGTTGAGAATGTATGCATGTCTCTCTCCAATTGCAGGATGTTCGTATCCATGCTTTAAAACAGCTCCTCATGTCTTCTCATGTGATACAACTGGAACAGCTCGAGCAATGTCCCAAGGTTTGGATGGTTTTATTCCTCCATATTCACCTTCTATATAGCTCCGTTTCTTCTAATAATATGTTCCGTGTGTATATGACCAGGGCATGGCGAAGATTATCGTGTACAATCTGCAGTTAATCAGTGCCCGAGAAATTGCATACATTATGTCACACCATCACAGAGAATTATTTTAGAAGAGTTACTTGACAGGTATATGCTTCTCTCTACCCTCCTTGAGATATTCTCTGTGGGTGTTAATACTCATTTCTCGTCCTAAGTCCAGTGTCTTGGAAAAACCTTATGATTGTTCCGCGGAAGCAGAGTTTCTCTATGCTCTTATCGTCAAAGCTCAGTTTGAGAACAATCGGTACCAGAAACCAAAGAGGAAACAACCTGAATCTTCAGGAAAACATGTAGACTGGTTCTAAAGTTGAACCAATAGAGTTGAAGAATCTGAAACGGAACATGGATTAAATGTGAAAATCTCTCCATAAGGTCACATCGAGAGATATCACCATGAAACAGTAGATGCCATTGTACTATTCAGAGTTTTTAAGAGAGCAGGGAAAAGATGAAAGAAAATTCTGTGAATTCGGAACAAGTTCCAAAACTTGACTTCTACACAAATCTTTGTGTTTATGTACTCTATTCACTATGGTGATTTTCATACGGACTAGTATTAGTATATGTATATTGGTTACATTTTCAATGTGAGAGAATTCAGAAAGGTGAGAGAATTCGAACCAACTTAAAGTCTTAACCTTATGTTTTTTTTTCTTCTTCTGAAATTAAGTTATTTAGTTGGCCCATTATATTGTTTTGGACTTATGGCCTGTTATTATTCAAGATCGATAAATATATTTTGGACTTATGGCCCATTATTATTCAAGGTCGGCTTTGTTGATATAATATGGGTAGAGAGATAATTTGACATTTGACATTTTTGGAGATTATAAATATTGTTTTGGATAGTTTAAAAACACCCAATAATGAGGTGACGCAAAACACACAATAATGTTTTTCAAGAAGAAGTGGCGCACACACACCAAACAAAAAAATAGCCGTTATTGTATGTAGACCGTTGGATGGGGACCAAAAGGAAAATTAAATTAAAATAATAACGAAAGATCCGTTACGAAAGTAAACCCCTTTATCCGCTCTGCCTCTCTCCCAGTTCCCGTGCCTCTGTTTGACTTTGCGTTCAGACACAAAGACATTAAGTTCTTGTCCGTAACCTAAAAAACTAACATTCTAGAGAGATTGAGATCGAAGAGAAGAGAGAGATCTGGGTTTCTTGAAGCTGTTTGGCAGTGAGAGGATCTTTTATGGGTGGTTTTATAATTACAAAGATTTGAGCTTCTTTTTTTATTTTATCTTCGAAACCCAGATTTCAAGTGTGAGGCCAAAGATAGTTTTTTTTCTAGGGGGTTAAATAAGTGAGGATTGCCAGAAAAATATATAGAAGATGGTTGCAAGAACCCCACAAAAGCTGAGGAAAGTGACGATGGTGGTGCCATCTCTCAACTCAGATCTTCTCAAAGAAACTATCAACAAGGTATTTTATCCAATCAAATACCAGATTAGAATAAAGTTTACAACTTTAATTTTATTTTTCTTTCCAGAATTTGCAACGCTCCAGTTCTCAGGCTCCTTCCCACTATGTTTTAAGCTTTAATTAGTAACTGAACCCACTCTGCAATTTTTTTTATAAATAAAATCGTTGTTCTGGCCCAAAGTTTTAAAAGATCTTTCTACTAATAGAGTATAACTTTATAAGGAATGTGTTTTTATTTCAATTGTCGCAATCTTGTTAGGTTTCAAGATGTTAGTTTGTTTACTAGGGTCTGAATTATAGAATTTAGGATCTAACGTTAGCTGATTATATACGGTCAATTTTGGTATGAAATGTGAAGGTTGACAAATGTATGGAAAGACTGCAAGAGCTACAATACACAATAGCTGGAGGTACCAAAGTTGTCTCTGGAGTGAACCTTAGCCCTCGGAGTACCAGAACTTACTTGAAGACTAGTCTTAGATGCAAGCAAGAAACTTTAAGGTAAAAAAATCAGAAGAAACAAAACCTCAATGATCCAAATTCAGAAGCTTCTAATTCGTGTTTTTGATTATTCTGCCTGTTACATTGTTGTTGTAGGATCAAGAATGCTACCAATAAGAAATCTCCAGTAGGGAAGTTTCCAGCTTCCTCACCAGGTAATAGCGCTATCTCATTTTCTCTCAATACACAAAAGTATTATGCATTTATAATAATGGATCATACCACAGGCTGTACTTGATAATCGATTGTGTTTGGTAATGTCTTACAATTGTTATTAATTTATTGGATCATAAGCTCCTTGTTTCACCAAGTTGGTCATAGTTTCTTCTGATTGTGCAATGTATAATCTTTTTTGGGTGATGCAGGAGATTGGAGGAAAATGTCACTCCCAGCAATGTTACTGGGAGAGACTGTAAATGAAATCTTACAAGCCTCACAAGTCACAAGAGACATTGTAGAAGCCATAGCGCCAAAGAAATGTAGAAAGTCCAGGAGATTAACAATGTCACAAGAAGATGATGGACCTAAAACACCTGAGACACGAAGACGTAAATCCCGGGAACCAAACCCTGAAACTGTTAATAGCAATATCAAAGCGAGAAGGAAGAAAGAGAAGCAGAACAAACGATCAGAATCAGATTCTCCTCCTTCTCTACAAAGGGCTCGCTCAAGAATTGCATTCAGAACCATCTCTCCTCCACTAAAAACAGCAGAGAATGTTCAAGTAAAGGGAAATGGTGAGAATAGCTTTCGGCATTTGGCTAACAGGGTTTCACCAAAGCACAAACCTTGGGTTAAAAAGGCGGTTCTTTTTCCAAACCCTCTGTTTATTTCTGGTACAGCTACACAACAAGCCAAGTTCAGTAGAACAATGTCTCCGGTCATAGCCAGAAATGAGATTTCCAGCATCAAGAACAATAAAGAGACGCCACACAAGTTCTTGATCAAATCTCCTCCCAAATCAGCATCTAAGTTTCAGGTCAAGATCAAGAGCCCACCTAAGGTATTGGTTTCTCCTACAAGAAATGGCAGTAACTTGATTCGGAGGTCACCTAGGGGTTCCAGTTCTCCGACAAGAAACGTTAACATAGGGAAGAAGTCGCCTTCTGCGTCCATTTCTCCTGTTAGAAACTTGGGAAAGAGGTCTCCAAAACTATCAACCGCTGCTAAGCTCAGAAGATCATTTACTCCTACGAGAAATGGCAGTAACTTGACCCGTAAGTCGTCCATGTCTCCAACAAGAGTCACGCTTCAAGCATTTATTTCTCCGGCAAGAAATGGTAACTTTAATAAGAAGTCACTCAAAGCTTCGATATCTCCGACTAGGGTGAACAAGCCACAGAAGCTGTCAACGGCTGCAAAGCTCAGGAGATCATTTTCCCCATCGAGACTAGCGATGAGGCTGGTGTCTCCAATGAAGAGCAGGAAAAGTGTGGCCAAGTGTGATGATCATGAGATGGTGAGTGGATTAAAACAGCGTCCGGTTATGGTTCCTAAGAGATTCTCGATGGGGAGAATCTAGTAAGACAGAGTTTGTAATTCAATCAGATTTTATTCTTTGATTTCTGATGTGTTTGTGTGATGTTGATAAGTTATTCTTTAAGATGTTTGATCGTCAAGAATCATATATGGGGAAAACAATAATTTATCAAGTGTGGGTGTAATTTTAGGTATCAATATGAAAACCAAAAGCAGTTTGGTTATAGTGGAGTCACACTTATACAACCCACATAACCAAAAAATGAATTCAAATCAAAAGAGACTTCTCTTTTTTTAATATGCAACAATCTTGGTCAGAAAAATTAACTTTAGAAATATATATTTTTCATTAAATTAAAGATATTGACCAAAAATGAGTTAACTTGGGTTTATGTGGATCTCTCTGTAGTAGTGGACCTTTTGGACTTGTCTACTTTCCATGGAACTTTGTAGTGTTATCTTAAAGCCAGTAGGCAATATCACACATTTCATAAAACTCTAATTAAAAGATGAGCTACCAATTAGGCAATTACTTCCTTTTGCTTTTAAATCATCACTTCTGAGGTTCTCTCTTGCCCTTTTCATTACATAAAAGCATTAAAGATGAAACTTGACTAATACTTTCATCCTTATTATCTTTCACAGATTTGGATCTTACGCATTTAACCTATGGGGAAATAGGGAAATAGCCATAACACAGCTCTGGATGAAGCATTACTATCAAAAAAAATGGTCAAATTATTGTTATACACAAGTAGGGATCCATATTTCACCTTGATTTTTCAAGGATTCAAACTTAGCTTGGCTACATATGGTTTTACTAAACTGTGGTTAGCCGTCCAAAACAAAACAATCGACCGGGCCACAGAACATCCCTTCACACACAATACTATACACTAGTTGAACAATATACTACAAGTTACTTTATCTCAAAGAAAAGAATCTAAAGTGGCAAAACTTTAGCAAAAGAGCTTCGTCTTTACTTTTCTCCTTCCATTTACACTCATTTTGCGACCTCAAGCAAAATAAAAAAAAACCAGAGAGATGATCTAAAGCTCTCTCGATCCACTTCAACACAAAAATGGAAACTTCTAAAAACTCCACAAACTCATCACTATTCCAATGGTTAGGTCTTTTAGAAGATTCTGATGATCAACCTCCTGACTCTACCCATCCTCGAGTCATAACCCTCCTCGCTTCTATCCTTGAGAAGATGATTAAGAAGAACAAAAAACCACTCCACACAAGACAAAACAAGTTTATAAGTTTACTAACGTCTGAAATTACTCTTGTGCATATAGTTTCTAGATCCTCCGTTCTTATATTTGAATCTCATGGCGACAGGGATGACGAGATCACGATGTTCCATGGCTCAAAAGCACCATCGATGAGCATTTATCGCTACACAGAGAGAATCCACAGGTACGCTCAGTGTAGCCCTGCGTGCTTCGTGGCAGCTTTCGCCTACATCCTTAGGTATCTACAGAGACCAGAGGCTACAAGTACGCCTCGTCGTCTAACATCACTCAACGTTCATCGCCTCCTCATTACCAGTCTCTTGGTCGCAGCCAAATTCTTGGAACGCAAGTTAGTATCTTCTTAACGAAACCAAAAATCTCTCATACGGTAGATCATTGTAACCAGAGTTAAAGTATGCTGTTTTTATCTGGAGTACTATATATAGGTGTTATAACAACGCGTATTATGCAAAAATCGGAGGAGTGAGCACTGAAGAGATGAATAGTCTGGAGAGAAGGTTCTTGTTCGATGTTGATTTCAGACTAAATGTTACAACGGAGAGTTTCGAGAAGCACTGTCTAATGTTGCAGAGAGAAACGGTGCCTTGTGATTTAAGAAAACTTAGAACAGTTCTTGGAGAGATAACTTGTGGCTGCCAAGCGATTTAATATAACAAACATTGAATAATCGTCATTTCTTCAATTTGTTGTCAAACTAATTTAAGTGTTTGTTTTCATGACTCATGAGCAAATAACCTAAATAAAAAAAGGGACAAGAAATCTTAATCTAATGAAGTTTGGAATCTAAACGCTTCTTTTCTTATTGAACAAGTGATATCTATCTGGCACAACTTCTTTAACAGTCTCTTCCTTAAAACTTCAAGATAATAACGGCTTAAATAACTTCGTGGTTCGTTAATGGGCCAGCCGTTAAAAGAACATAGATATTTTCGGCCCTAGCCCTATCCAATCCGGTCCGAACAGAATTAGTCCACTAAATGTCTGGCCCAAACCTGATCATATGATGGATAGAAAAAAAAAAAACTAATAATAAGTTTGACAAACCAAACAAGGCGGCTCTAGGCCTCCATGCCCTCCAATATAGCGTAAATTCATAGATATAGAATAATTCACCTAAACACTTTATTATTACTGAATGTGAAATAAAACGGTAATCGTACAATTTGCATATATAGGCTATAGTTTAAAAGAATATATATATATATAAAAAATAAAAAAAATAAAACAGTTTGAAGACATACCAAACTTTTGTGCGCGGTATCGCTCTCTGGGTGATTGAGATATGACAGATACGAGTAGGATACGCGTATATAAAAGACGGTGGATATGCATATGCATGCTATTATAATAATACCGACATAATTTGTTTTAAACTCTCTTTTAACCAATCTTTGTTTTCTTAACCCAAGATAAATTCGCACTTTCCCTTATTTTAACTTTTTATATATAATAGCATATATGATTTGTAATTAACCTCCTTAAAAATTGGGTCGCCAATCTCACAGAAGCTAGCCTATTATCATCATGCACTTTTGTAAAAAGGATGTGTATTTTTATTATACCGAGTTGTAGGAAATTGCGTTGGAGTTTCCTTCCTAGTCGGTTCCAAGTTGCAAAGCATTGATGAAAAGTGTGATACTCTTTTCTCGCAACCAATTTAAAATACTTGTATGGTAATATGGTATACTTATAATTCAACTCTTATTATATAGTAATTTGTAGCTGCACATGGTGTATTTAGCTTCTTTTGTGGCCAGTGTGAATCTAAAAGCCAATAGACGTTAACGCAAAACAAAATTTGGAAAACAGTCTTTGTTGACTTTCGACAATATATCTAATCATGCTAAATGCATCATCTCGTTGACTTGTGAATGAATCAAGACGCAAACGTGACTTTTTGAATGATATTAGTTTTTAAGATGAAAATACATATAGTTCCACAATTATCGTAAAAACTGAACCCAAATCAGCTTGTGATGCAATATATAATGGTCGTCGTCCATGTGCTCTTAGTTAAAAGGATCATACAAATGGAATCTTTCTATACCATAACATCAGATCAGAAGCTTCTATATGTTGTCAGTGAACTCATACATCCTGATTTGATGCACTGATTAATTTGATACTTTGTTTTCTGAATATATGTGCTAGCTACATTAGTAAAGAGTATAGACCAATACCATCGTGATAAGTAAGGATAATAAACAAAATCAGCATAGTGTAGTTGAATATATGAAAATAACGTTAGAAGAAATACAATTTTGAAAGTTATATATATATATATATATATATATATATATATATGACTTTTAGGTACTTGAATATTAGATTGGAAAAAATGGGTCATCTACTTATTGATACTCTCCATTATAAACAGTTGGTTAGATTGCGAAGTTGATAAAGAAACGAACATAGCGACTTGTTCGAGGCCATTATTATGGCTACGGCATCATCAACATTTTAAGATAATTTTTATATTCAAATTATTTTTCTTCTTTTAATAACAACGCACAAATTTTAGGGAAATTATTATATTACTAGTTTGTTCCTTTAAAGGAAAAAAATATTCCCCATAATGACGCATCGAGATTAGGACGTTGTAAACTCATAACTAGAATAGTCTGAAGTCTGAACGCGTGAAGTATTAAAAAAATGTAGATTTCACCAAACCCTTAATATTAATACTACAACACTGTGTTACAACAAAAACTTAATATTTATTATATTCACAAGATTTCTATTAAAATATATATATATTTTTTTTTGGCACTTCTCTCCGTGATTCTTTCTGTTCAAGAAGCTTCTTCTTCTTCTCCAATATTTATTTCTTTTTGAAGTTGAATTTTTTTTGGTTCATCTGCTCGAAACCTAATTTTGTGCATATTCTCGTGTCAGTGATTTATTTTACGATATGGAGTCTATTTCTCCGATTTCCTTTTGATTAGTAAATTATACTTTTCGATTCTCTCTTCGCTTTGCTTTGCTTTAAAGCGTTCTCAACAACAACAAAGAAATAAAGGAAAAAAGAAAGAAAAAGAAAACTCATAATCCGTGATTTGAGCCAATTATAATCGTCAGTTTACATATTATTCTATTCTGGGGTTAATTCATAATTGGGTTTGTATTTGTCTCTTGTTCGAGTTAGTGTGAGAGATTAGGGATAACAAAATCAGACATTAATTAGAAAAGGTAAGCCATATCTCTTGACTCTCTCTCTCTCTCTCTTTTTCTCTGTGTTATTTTCGTTTGGTTCGTTCTAAAAAGGCTGTTTTGAGTTTTTTCACCTGCAAAAAAACTTACACCTACATAAAAAAAAGATGCAATTTTTGATTATATCCTCCTGATCGATAAAGAGAGAGAGAGAGATTCGAATTTCTCTGACCATCTCGGTTTCTTCGTCAAGTGTTCTCTATGTATGTTCTCTTCTTCTGAAATCGATTTGCATGTCAAAGTTGGAAAATTGAATTAATCCCCTGAAGATTAGGCGATAAAGTTTCGAACTTTTTTTTTTGTTTTTTTTTGCCTTCTGGGAATTTAGGGTTCTTTATCTCTGCAATTGCATGCATGTTACTTTTCGTGTCTGATTACTCTAATTACCTCGATTCTTGCAGGTTTCTGACGTTTTCTATTCGACCCAGATTCTGATTTCTTCTGGAAAATTTTGGATTTTTTTTTTGAGTTTGAGACGAAAGTGAATCTGAATCGATTAGTAAGAGTTTGGTCTCTCTCGGATGAATTCTCCGCTGAGTTCCAAGAATCTGAGGCTCTTTACAAACTCTGTTGCTTTCAAATGTCTTCTTCTTGTTGGTATTGCTCTGTTCTACAGAGCTCTGTTGCTCTCTTACACTTCCAGAAACGCTCTCAGCGGTGGCTCACTGGTTCCAGCTCGTCACATGTCCGATTCCTCCTCAACCAATGGTATCCGAACTGATAAGTTTCTCGAGGTTCCTCAGATCGTCTGGGGTCTAAACAATCAGAAGATTGCTTTTGCTAGAGCTTGCTTGACGGCCAGATTGATGAACAGGACGCTTCTCATGCCTAGTCTAAGTGCTTCCTTGTTCTACAAGGAAGTTGATAAGCTGCGTCCCATCCCGTTTGATCAAGTGTTTCAGTTTGAAAGATTCAACTCTCTCTGTTCCGGCTTTGTGCGGCTTTCTCGGTTCCCTGATGTTAGAAACAGAGCACAAGTGTTTGATCTAGAGAAAGGTAGTGGGAGAAGATGGACGGTTGAAAGAGACATGGAACAGTTGAAACATTCCTCCCGTAACGAGTCCATCGATGAGTTTGAGGTGATCCGTGTCATAGGGAAAAACCCGTTCTTGTGGCATGATCATTGGCCCGTAGAAGACTATGCTAAGGTCTTTGAGTGTATGGTGGTGGTTGATGAAATCTCAAGAGAAGCAGATAAAGTTGTGATGAAAATCAGAGAAGCAGGCGAGGCAGAAAGAGCGAAACTCGGATCCAAAACCGAAACGCTCCCCGGTCCAATACCTTTTGTTGCAGTTCACATGAGGATAGAGATAGATTGGATGATACATTGTAAGAAATTAGAGCAACGGCAAAAGGTCTCAGAGATTTGTAGTAGTAAAAGAGAGATTATGGAGAGAGTAGGGAACATTTCTAGTTTGAAGACTCCAACAGTTCTTTACCTTGCAGTAGCGGATACTCTCTTGGAAGAAAAAGAAGAAGATTCATCGGTGTTAAGGGGTTGGAGAGATGGATTAATACCGTTTGAGAAGAAGAAGCTTGGGGTTAAAGAGGAGATTTATGGAAAGTATTCATATTTGATTCAATCTGCTATAGACTATGAAGTGTGTTTGAGAGCGGATGTTTTTGTCGGTAATAGCTTTTCCACTTTCTCTAGTCTCATTGTCCTTGAGAGGACGCAGAAGGCAAGAAAGTTAGGGGTTATGAGTTCTTGTGACGACGGTGAAAACAAGTGGAGATCTTATGCATACAATCTGGCTGGTGAATCCAAGGGAGTTCCAAGGAGGTGGATGACGAATATGACTCATTCGAGCTTGCAAGCTATTAGCTACGGCTCTAATTCTGTTTCTTGTTCAAGTGGGTGAAGTTTGTATTTTGGATTTAGTTTTTTTTGGCTTTCTTTCATAAAATTCGTTTATTTGTGGGTGTAAATAACTTGTGTAAAGTTTATAGGAAAAAGAACAATGCCTAAATCTTCAATTTTCTTTGTTTTTTTTAACTGTACTGAACTTCTCCTGATGACAATGATTAGGAAGGAAAAAAAGAGAGTAAGAAGTCAAAATACATATACAAACAATTCATTGCTTATTGAACAAGGCATCTATGAACAAACACAATGGAATCTGCAGGTCTGTGATCTTTCTTCAGCTAAGAATTAACTCTTCTTTCTTGCGGTGTAGAGATGGAACGAAGCCATACCAGCGATCAAAGCGGCTGTCCCGACTGTTAAAACATTTGGGAATCATGATGAGATACATAAGCATTTGACCAAACATTTTGGAATCCAAGAACTTAACATACTTGAAACTGCCATTAAAGATTTGTTGATTAGCTTGCGGCTCTTTTTCTTCTTTGACTCAATCTCTGGAATATTCAAATGAGGATGCTCTGCTGCTGTTAAGATCTTGCGAAATAAGTTACCGAAATCTCCCAGTTTAGAGCTGATTGGTATTGGAGCATCAAGCCCTATATCTTGTGTAACCTGCAAAGATCAGCATATAACATATTTGATCAACTTATGATTTAAATCTGTACGAAACCAAGAAGAAAGGTATTACTCTAGTTGATTCTTGGATCGCCATTTCAAATGAATCAAGATCTGATTTTGCTGCAACCATTAGGCAAGGAAACACGTAACCGGCATCTTTGGCAATGGTTGCAACCTCAGCAAGCAAATCAATGGCTCTGTTCCACGAGGACTCATCAGAGGAATCATAGATGAAGATTGCTACATCACAAGCAGCCAATGCTTCATTTGATAACATAGATCCATCTTCTTGAATTCGAACTTCCTTCAGCACCAGAGTTTTATCTGTATTTGCATTAATCATTACAGATTCTTTGACAATATTTACAGCATAACGTTCATCAGTTGATCCATTGTTGTTGTTGCTGTCATCATCGTATGACCTAAGATTCATAGTTACAGTCAGACTCTAAATGCTCTGTAAAGTATATTTCTTAAACCGAGTTTTACAAAAATGTACTGACCTTCCGATAAATTGATTGAGCAATGCAGACTTTCCAGCATTCTTGGGGCCAAACACAAAACACTGTACAACTTTTCTTTCGGATTTCTTCTCCTTGCGGTCTAGAACTCGCTTCCTAGTTACGCGAATCGCCGAAGATGGATGATGAGGGAATCTAATGTACATCAAATATTCCAGAGTCCTAGCTGGATCAATTAGTGTCATGAATGACCACTGCAAAGATAATAAATATTTAGGGGGAAATGTAAAAATTTTGAAATGGGTTCCTCTTAAAACCATAAAAAGACTTTGTTTTGATTACCAGTGAGAGGAAAGCTTCAAGAGAGACTCCTCCATCCTTAGTTTCCTCTGAGGCATCTTTATAAGGAGCTTCTTTCCAAGGACTGTCATTAATGATGAACAAAATGGATTTACACCAGAAGCAAATGAAAAGATCATTTATAATCACAAATCACGCACTTTAAGAATGTGAATATGTTACCTCTCAGGTGCAGTTTCAAAGAGATATCCCATCTCATGAGGTTTCAAGTTATTGTCCTAAGAAATTAAACTCAGATTTTTAGAATCAACACGTATATAATATATATATACCTAAGACATAAATTAGAAAGAAAAAAAGAAGAACTTACAGAGTCATTATCAAAAAATTCATAGACGTCCCATAAGAATTCAAGAGCTATATTTGTTAGCTCAACACTCTACACAATGAAAAAAGAGTTGCATGATGAGAAACATCAACATATAATCACAATATGAAGCCAAAAATAAAATGAGTTCTGTTTCTGCAGAATATAATTACCTGATCAGCCTGGCGTTTGAATAAAGAATAAGGAATCAAGTCATCTGCAAGTCTTAGATCGTTATTATACCCAAATTTCCTAAGTATAGTCCATAGTGTTTGGATCCTTGCTTCTTCGATAAACCGTGTGTTTAGAAACAAGAAACCATCCAATGTGAGCCCTTCTTCGTTAATTCCTGGTGGAAACTTCTTTTCCATTGTCTCTTTCATTACTTTAATTTCAGAAGGCACCAGTGGTATATCAAAGCATTTTACCTGTTTTTTTTTTTTTTGAAAGTTAACTGTTTGATAAAAGCACTCAAGAAAAACAATGTAAAACGTAAGGAAGGGAAAATAAGAAGAAACCTGAAGCATGTTTAACTCGTCTTCATTGAGAAGACAATCCTTGTCATGGTCAGACAGTATGTAGATACGTTTTAAGGCAGCGATACAGCGCGGCTTCAGTGAGTTGGTTTCTTGATTAAACACAGGCCCTACTGGGTGAATAACCGCTTTTTGTGCATAGTAGAGAACGTTTTTAACCTACACAAGAAGCTTATAAAGTGATCAGAATCTAACTGAACATCAAAACTAACCAGATTCATCACAAAGATCCAACTTTCAGCTATGCCCTAAAGTTAAGATCTCAAGCACAAGCAAAGGGACCTGATTTAGCCTCTGAGCAGACCACTGGATAGATGTCTCGACCTCTCGATATTGTTGCATCATAGGTGACGTTATTTGCTCAATGCTGATTTGATTACAAGCCCCATTGCTGTCGATATTACAACCTGCCACTATGATAGGAACTCTCACCTGTTCAATAAAAGAGTTACAGGACAAATTTTAATAAGAAAGATTGAAAAACTTCAGGTGAATGAGCATAAAATCTACACTTTTTACTCGCAAAGTTATCGATGGACGTGAAGCAAGAACGCAAATTAACCTCTAACTGTCGAAACAGAGGAAGCCAGTGATCACTCAAACGGTCAAGAGTCTCTGGTCTATCGAATGCAAATGTCAAAACAATTGCATCTGCTTGCTTCACTTCCTTAACTACCTTTCCCTTATCTTCCAGTCTGCAGAGTTTATCAAGGAGACATCAATACTCAGTAGTAATACATTTCTGTTTCTAACCAAGAGCGTGCGGTCAAGTGGTTTGTTCGACCGGGTTGAGGACTCGCATATGTGTCAAGGCCAAGGATCGAGTTCCACCATCTATGATAACATTGTAGTGGTTCCCTCTTGGAGTCTTGGACCTTCAATAGAAAAATTCCCGGCTTTCTATATGCCTCGGGAATTAGTCTGGATTTCGGCCTAAAATCTATCCGGTTATATAAAAAGATATTAAACTATCATTTAATGGAAAACTATTCGGCTTTCTATAGGCTTCGAAGATTAGACCGGATTTCGGCCTAAAATTACTTCGGTTATAAAAAATACTAAACTACTATTTAAAGGAAAAAACATCCGGCTTTCTATAGGCCTCGAGGATTAGACCGGATTTCGATATGTGATTAACCCCGGTTAATCAAAAGCAAATACTAAACTATTGTTAACCATATGTTCAGTTTCCTCTACCTTATCCACAGACAACACCTTATCAGAAAAAGATGCATACCCCTTTTTGATGTCAATAGATAGAACCAGGAGAGACATATACCTTGAAGAAGTGTCGATGACAGTAGCGGGTATACGGTCAGGGAAAAATTCAGAAGGTAAATTGGTGTAAGGTAACAGAGGAGCGATGTTTGGATGGAAAGTATTTCTTGCTGCAGCCAGAATCAAGCTTGATTTCCCAGTGCCCTTCTCACCAACCACAACAATTCTCATTGGTTTCGACGAGCCACGAGAATTTCCCACACCATTCCACATCATCTGCTTGTGTAAACTAACATGAAATACAGTTCAGAATAAACAAATACTGATCATGTAAGACATTAGAAGATATCAAACAGAGTAAGGAGACCAGAGGCAAAAACAGAGAAAGAGAGACTAAAACGATCATAAAGATGATGATTAGAAAAATCTTACATAGTCTGAGAAACAGTTTAGTATATAAACCAAGAAGATCAAAAGGCATATAAAGCCAGGGACGTTAACAAAGCTTTGTGAAGGATGAGAAAATTCACAAGAAGAAAAGATCATTGCATCTTTATTATATAGTGATAACCATTTCCAGTAAGTTGGCCATGTGTCTACTTAGTGAGATAGGTTTGTTTTTTAACGGTGGAATTAGCGTTTGTAGAAGAGGATCGGACGAACGAGATTGAGGATCTTGACGTGGATACAACTGGTTTCCCTTGGTATTCTTCTGTTTTTTACCCTTTTCAGGTTCAAAGCTTTTAATTACATGGCATTCATTTGATTATCTTTTTATCTTCAATTAAAAATAATTATATCCTTTATTTGGTAATGCTTTAATTTATTAAATATATAAAAAAGTACAATAAACACACAACAATGGGATCAAATCTGGAGAACACATTAACAGCTTACATAGTAGAGATATGTTGTTAGATTTGAATGTGTGAAATATATGATTGTAAATAACACAATCATTATTATAAGGGTCTAGTTAGAATCTTAGTATGAATTATAAATGTGATATGTGATATTTCTATTCCCTTAAAATAACGTGATACATAAATAACAACGATAAAAAAATTATGAAATGGGCGGGATATTAAATTATGAATATGATGACATAAGATTTGTGAAAATATTACTACATGCTATTTTCATCTGTCTAGTTGGATAACGATGCCCATTCGTTACCATTAAAGCCCATTGGGCTGAAATAGCTCAGTTTAATGACCCACTTTGTTCATTGACAGTAAAAGAGCTGCGAGATGGCGCCGGGAGAGTAAAGAGCATTTCAGGATGATGTCCGACGAAAACACGATCATCATCGACTGCCAGAAAGACTCTACTTCTGTACCGGTAAGTTCAGAAAATTAACTTGGATCTGAGTATATGAGTGTGTGTTTGTGATTCTTTTGGTCTGATCTAGTTTTGATGTTTTGTGACGGTCGTAGTCTGTTCCAGATCCAGGCCATGCCACCGTCGAGTTAGCTGGTAATAATGTTTCATCTTATGATAATTTTTTGGTTAATTAGTGTTAACTGATAGATAACAATTAGGAAGGAGATGACTTTGATTCAGAACGAGTCTATTGATTTAGCTAAGATGACAGTAATTGGTATAGATTTTAAAAATCTAGTCTTTTTGTTTGAATTTTGGGTCCATTTTATTCTCCAGATTAAGAATGTTGGTTAATTTGGAAAAATGGATCACAAAAGAGCACCATTGTTTCTACTTATCACCACCACATGGCTCTAGGTGATTATGACTTTACACCAGACACAAGCTCTTTGAGTTTTGCTGTCTTCCTTCACCGGAGATTGATTGCTCTGTGATTGAATTAATTATGTAGCTGTGAAACCAAAAGACGGAACCATGCACGTGGCTTCTGCATCTGCTGGTCACCAAGAAGTTTTGATACACACAATGCTTACTTTGCCTGATATAATGCAATGAACAGAAGCACGTATTTTCGACATTATGGCGTTGACCTAAAGTAAGTTGATAAATGATACCTCAAAAGACAGATCTAGTTGCACTACTTGACATATCTAGCTTATGAACTTTGTGGGCTAACATAATCATAGTTTACCACTGTCTATGTCTATGTTTATACATTCTTTTGTTAATTTATTTCCTTGTTTGTCAATTTGATCAGATGCAAATGATAGGGACCACAAGTTGTTAGCCCAAGCTGTTGAAGAAGCATATATCGGAGTCGAGTGTGGCGATGGTCGCCCGTTTGGAGCGGTTATCGTTCATAATAATGAAATCGTTGTGAGCTGCCACAATATGGTTTTGAAAAACAAAGACCCAACGGCACATGCTGAAATCATAGCCATTAGAGAGGTAGTAACTTTTTAGAAACAAAATTTCAATCTTTTAAGTCACATTGTTGTGGAATGTTGCAGATTATGCAAAAATCTGTTTCAAGTTATATGATATTTTTGGCAAACACGCAGGCATGCAAGAAACTGAACAAAATCAAGCTATCGGAATGCGAGATTTACGCATCCTGCGAGCCTTGTCCAATGTGTTTTGGAGCCATCCATCTCTCAAGACTCAAGGTAATAAGAAGTGAAAACATGACAACTAGTTGTTAGTGCCAAACCTCTTCTTTTAGTTTCCTCTTTCTGAAACCTAGCCCTTGATCGGTTGTGAACAGAGGTTGGTTTATGGGGCAAAAGCAGAAGCAGCTGTAGCCATTGGGTTCAATAGCATCATAGCCGACGGTGTGAGCGGCATTGGGTGCTACCATAAGTCTAACCTAGAGATTATAAAACTCGATGCGAGTATTGCCGAGCAAGTGTTCCAGAACACAAAGGGGAAGTTCAATTTATAATAAGCTCTTTTTGTCATCTCTTGTAGAAGAAGCAGCGAAAATGTATTGACTTACTTTCAATTTTTTTGTTTCAGAATAACTGAAAATTTCGATCAATGTATCTGTTTGTTTGTGTTTGCTTTGGTCTATAATTGAAGTTAGATATTATTAACGTTAATAAAAAGTTAGATATTGCAAGTGCATCAGCGACTTATTCGGTCGTCCTTCACATTTTTGACATTTAAATTTAAATGGTTATTGGTAATCTACGAAGAAACGTTCGTAGAAAGGGGACGATTTACTCCGGTCCTTCAGGCCACGTGGAACGCAGAGATTGGTTGTCCGATAAGTGAAGGATGAAAATTTTCGGGGGTCTCTTCGTTTTCTCCTTTCTCTTCTTCTCTGCGTCTCGACTGTGTAGCTATAGAGGGAAGGCGACTTGTAGGGCGATTTGAATCGAAAGCGAGCTTCCGTCGTTGGTGAGCCGATGTCGTCTTCCTAACCGGCATAGATTTGTCCCGGCGAACGAAGACCCCAATCCTCTGGCGATATGAAACCCTAAACGGTATGTTCTCAAAATCCTTAAAGTTTCTGGGTTCTTGGTTTGTATAAGCTTTTCTGACTCTACATTTAAGAGATTTCAAGGTGATGAGACTGATAAGGAGGTGTTAGATTATAATAAAAGATCTTTCTGGGCTCGATATTTCTGGTTGAGTGCACGGTTATCAATTTTGGAGGAAAAAAATCTGCTTAAGATTGATTTCTTGCTGGAAACTACTATACCTGAGATGATAGAGAAAGAATTTTATTCGGAGTGTGTACATTTACTTTCACCTCTTTTGTTTTCAAATAAAGACATCTTGCCTGCAGATGCTTTGAAAACGGAAGAAGGGATCTCCTCTGTTGAGTTATCATCACTTGACGTTTTAATAGAAGCATGTCAGAGGAGTAACCCTATAGATGTTGAGGTTTATATGAATTGTCATAAAAGAAAGTTGCAAGTTCTCTTAGAATCAACTGGTACGGGAGGATCTGTTGTGACACCTAAAACCTCGTATAAAGATTCAAGTGAGAGTTGGGATCACTTGGTGGCTGAGGAAGTGAAGGCAATTCTTCTCTGTATCTCTCAAGTGAAGAACTTCCTTGACCAGTCAGGAAACACTGTAAGTCTGAAACTTATTCTGATTTATATGGTATAGTGCTAAAATAAAATTGAAAAAATAATATTTGTTTGCTTTGGATGTGTGATTCTGATCATGATGGTACAAGCTAACAGCATATGAGATAAACTAAACAGATGGTCATTGAGCTTATTTGAATCATTTAACTGCGTCATCTGCTTGTTCCTTACTCTATATGCTAATTCAATATGACAATCTTCAGGCTCTTGTACTACAGACTATTAAGAGAGTATAAAGTTTCTTAAAATAATTATTGGTAATTACTAGGCAGGAAAATGTACAAGAGATCAATGTTGCAACAATTTTATTGTCCTAGAAAACAAATAAAATGTGGACTCGTGTATTGATGTGTATGTTCGCTGTGCAGAATGGCATGGTTGCCCCAAGAGACTGTGTAGATGGTATACAAGCTTTGCTTTTGATAGTCATGTCATATATCGTGAGGAATTTTCTTTCTAAGAGAGATACAGATGGTGATGGGATTGAAGAAGAGAAGAAGTCTTGCTTTCTCGATGCAGCTATTGGATTCTGTAAACTTCAACACCTTGATTCTACCATGTCTACAAAATATCAAGTAAGACATGGCTACTAAGAATGTTATCTTACAATTATCAGCCATGATACTAAAAGCTATTTAGTCTGCTACTTTGTAAGACTTTCTCAATTTTTGTTTAGGTTGAGTTGATCATAGGTCTCCATGATTTGCTTGCTGAATATGGGCTTTGCTGTGCTGGTAAAAATTGTGCGGGGGAGGAGGGAGCTTTTCTTAGATTTGTGATTAAGCATTTATTGGCTGTGGACATGAAAGTCAAATCCAGTATTAACTTCCCATATGGTCTTGGACATGATATGGCATTGCCTGCAAAATTATTGAGAAATGAGATAAAATCATTTCTCACAGAGGTGCATGTTGAGAAAAACAAAAACAACAAAACTGATTCTTAACAACTCACTAGGGACACCAATGCTTTTACACCAAAAATTAGTAAAAGTCCTATGATCTAAATATTCAAAAAATAATGAAGGGACCAATGTTGGTCCTTCACCAATGCACTTGCTCTTATTAACGTTAATAAAAATTTAACGCCGTCAATAGAGAAGGATCACATCCAAAATAACGGGCGAGGTTAACGCCGTCAACATTCACGCCTGTGTCTGTTTAAACTCCCGAGGCATAATCATATCATATGATCGCTTACGCGACTGACCTACCCAATTCTGAAAATCTCTCTCTATCTTGTTCGTCGCAACGGAGAGATGGGTATCGATTTGGAATCGGTGTCGGAAGCGACCTCCGGAGCCATTGGGTCGCTTCTGAGTACAACAATTTTGTATCCACTTGATACATGTAAATCAAAGTTTCAAGCCGAGGTTCAAGCTCGAGGTCAGCAAAAATACAGGTTTTTTTCCCCTCGAAACTTGCTTCCTCCATCCTCTTGATTTTGGATGCATCGATTTATGTCTAGATAGTGTAATATTTTTTAATTTGGGGTGAAATTTGCAGATATCTTTCAGATGTTATGTGGGAGGCGATATCTAAAGGACAAGTCTTTTCGCTGTATCAAGGCCTTGGAACCAAGAATTTTCAGTCTTTTATTTCTCAATTCATCTACTTTTATAGCTATAGCTATTTCAAGAGGGTTCATAGTGAAAGGACTGGTTCTAAATCAATTGGAACGAAGGCGAACTTGCTTATTGCTGCTGCTGCTGGGGCTTGTACTTCTGTCTTAATTCAGGTACGTTTTACTTTGATGAATCCTGAAATTAGCCTATGTTATATATATTTTTTAGAGTTCCTGTTTTATTTTGGTGAAAGTTGAGAAATTTGAAGTCTCGGTGTTGAAATGAGAAATCAAAGTCTTGTTTCCTACATACCATTATGTGTTGTTATCGTTTTGTTGCAATATCGGTGAGTAAAAGCCTTGAATCTTATCTTTCTGTAGCCTCTAGATACAGCTTCATCAAGGATGCAAACGAGTGAGTTTGGGGAGTCAAAAGGGTTGTGGAAGACCTTAACAGAGCGTACATGGAGAGATGCATTTGATGGCCTAGGGATCTCCCTTTTATTGACTTCAAATCCTGCAATTCAGGTCGTTTTCTCATTTTAAAGCCATGAGCTACCGAATCAGGTGGCTCACTTAAACTTGCTGCAATCTCTTACCTAGACATCATGACTGGCTGAAACAGCTGCCTGCTCTTTGCAGTATACGGTGTTCGATCAGCTGAAACAGCACCTTCTTAAGCAGAAAAACGCACAAACTGAGAACAGTTCTTCTCCGGTAGTGCTCTCTGCCTTTATGGCATTTGTGTTAGGTGCTGTCTCCAAAAGTGTTGCCACCGTGCTCACATATCCAGCAATCAGGTATTACCTTTTGGACAAAGATTACTCGTATTCTTGATTACCCTATTGAGTTATTGTTTGGATATGGATTCAACTACGTGTCTCATATAAAATTCTCAAGTCACATAATTTTAGGAATCTGGCTAATCAAGACATTATATTGGGCTGAATTTTGCAGGTGCAAGGTGATGATTCAAGCTGCGGATGACTCGAAGGAAAACGAAACTAAGAAGCCCAGAAGAAGGACAAGGAAAACAATTCTAGGGGTTGTCTATGCCATATGGAGAAAAGAAGGGATGTTAGGGTTCTTTAAGGGATTGCAGGCTCAGATCTTAAAGACTGTCCTGAGCTCAGCATTGCTATTGATGATCAAGGAAAAAATCACTGCAACTACATGGATTCTCATTTTAGCTATCCGTAGAACTCTGTTTCTCACAAAGGGCAAGTTGAAAAGTCCTTGAGACTCTGCAAATCTGTTTTCCACCAGGCAAATTAAGGACAGGCTTGCGGGTAGATCGCATTTTGTTCTCTTATCTATGATTCGCGCGGGAAAGATCTCGGTTTGGCAATTTGTACTGAAAAAAATTCTAATACAAGCTTTTGTTGGGATGAAATGAATGAATGAAGCAAAGAGTTGATGACTCCTAGTCTTTGTTTCCTTTTTAGTTGTAATTACTTCCTTGTAATTAGTTGATGAATATTGGTTGTTGCCTAGGCGTATTTTTTGTATCGGATGTCCCCGAAGGGACGATTGTGTAGGCGTATAGGCGGGCATTGATGTAATATGAAATGATTCTTAAGAAACTCAAATTCAAAAGAAATATTATAGTATAGAATTAGATTGGTTCATTTTGGTCAAAAAAAAAGAAAAAAAGAATTAGATTGGTTCACAAAAAAAAAAAAAGAATTAGATTGTGGAGAGCTTCATTAGTTCAGTAATCATTGTGAGATACTCTCTCAAGAATTTGGAATAGATAACTACGAAAATTGTAAAATTAACACTAACTTATCAAAAAGAGACAATATTTTGTATAAATTCGTTAATAATTTTGCTAGCGTTGAATTAAATAATATTACCCTAACGAGAAAAATATAAAAACATATAATGGGAGTTTGCTTCTAAATGGAAAAGAAGGTTTTACCCGCTGGTTCCCGTCAAATCTCAAATCTCAAATCTCACTAGACCGGATTAGCTATAGTTTTCATTCAAAGCCAATTTTGTTTCTTCTGAGAGCTACGAGACGAACAGAGAAGATCGGAGCAAGATGATGTCCGGTGGGAACTACACGACTATCGACAGCCAGAAAGTCTCTGGATCTGTTCCTGTAAGTTTTTTTTGTTTCAATTTTACGTTTTCTCGATCTCGATAAGTATCTACGTGTATGTGTGTGTGTGTGCTCGCCCATATACTGATTCTTCCGATCTGATCTAGTTTTCACCTGTTATGTTTTTGTTAATCGTAGTCTGTTCCAGATCCAGGCCATACCACCGTCAAATTCGCAGGTAACATTCTCGTATTATTCTGAAAATTTTCAGTTTCTGAGGTGAATTTGATATTAGGTCGTTTAGGAAAGAACGATTTGATTTGGAATTAGAGGCTTCTTTTTTCTTTCGGACGTAAGAGTATGTTGATTTTAGCTTTGAACATTGCAAATTTGTTAGGTAATGCTATGGATTTTGAATGAATCTCTAGTTTCAATAGATTTAAGGGTTTAGCGAATAGAAGATACAAGGATCTTGTTTATGGAGAAAGAGGAAAACTTATAAATGCAAATGTAGTTTGTTCTTTTATAAGTTTTGGTTTGACATGGTTATGTTCATGTTAAGTTGTGACTGAGAGATGCATTGTTTTTGCAGAATCAAATCTACAAACTTTTCCTCCATCTGCTACTCAAGGCAAGATCTCTGGTGGTAGTAATCCCCCTCGAGATGCTGATGGTAAGATTCCTTGCAGATTTCATCCTATGTATGTAAAATAAGTTTCACACTCAGTTGGTTGAGGAATTCAGTATGTGGAAACGTGTTCATTGGTAGCTTTATGTTTATTGCTTGGTGCCAGTCTTTGTAAGTCGGTATATCTTATGGCTTATAGTATAAAATGTGAACTGTTGCAGATTCATTCTCTGGGCAAGGTAATGGTAGTACAGATGAACCTCAGTCTGGTGGCTGGCTTCACAAATTCACTGTTGGTGCTTACAAGCCATTCTTTGATGTCGACACTTCGGATGTCGTAGAGAGGCTCAAAGAATCTCTCTTCCCATTCCGTGGAACATTTACAGAGAAGACAGCTGATAAGCCTGACTTGTAAGACTTATGTCTTGACTTAACTTTCTCAACTCAGAGGGGATTTTGTATTTGGTCTTCAAGTGCTTAAAATTGCTTGTGTTTGCAGGTATGGTCCATTCTGGATATGTACGACTTTGATATTCGTTGCAGCATCTATCGGCACGTTTGTCACATACATAGCACACAAATGGAAGAAACAAGAATGGAACTACGATATTAATCTGGTGACTTGGTCTGCAGGAGTGTTCTATGGATATGTCACGATTGTTCCTCTTGCGCTATATGTCGTTCTAAAATACTTTTCTGCCCCATCAGGCCTAGTCCAACTCTTCTGTCTCTATGGCTATTCCCTGTTTGTCTTTATACCAGCATTGGTACCAAATCTCTCCTTATAAAAAAACTCTGATCCATATTTTCGAAACATCTGAAATTTGACATATTTACTTGTATCCGACTCTGTAGTGCCTCTCGGTCGTGCCAGTGGAGATATTCAGATGGGTGATCGCGGGAGTAGCCGGGTTCATGTCTGCAACATTTGTGGCTCTGAACCTCAAAGCACATATCAATTCCGCTGGAGAGAGGTCGATCCTGATAATCGCCAGCATCTTTCTTTTGCAGCTGGCGCTAGCAGTTGTGCTGAAGCTCTATATCTTCAATGTCAAAGTATGATCCATAAAAAAAAAGGAACAAAAAAAAAGAAAAAGAAATCGGACCATCATGAGCTTTGTAGAACTAAAAAGGTAATGGTTTGCTGATGAAAATCTGTAGAGGCAATAACGTTTTTACCTCAGATTTTTGTCCAGTTTTGTACCGTTTTGGAAACTGATCCATTTATTTACGCTCCATTAATTTTACTTGTTGAAGATAGTGTAATAATCAAATCGATTTGTAGTTAAACTTTCTCTCGACATACTATATCAGAATAAATTGAAAAGAAAAAAAATGTGAAACCTGCAATCATCTTGACTCTTGACACATGGAAAAAAAAAGAGGACCGAGAATGTTGAAGACTATAGGGTCTAAAGAAGGTTTGTACGGATACGGCTGTCTTCACTAATGTCTAAATAAGATCTTCGTCACTGACAATTTCTGTAAATATTCTTCCACATTACGTCAATAACGTATTTTCGAAACATCTTCGATTTTTCTCTTCTTCTTTTAAAAACAAAAAGATATATATATATATATATATATTTGTTAAATCTTTGTTGTACTCGAGTGTTTGGCTGTAATAGTAATGTCGAATTTTCTCAACAGATAATTCTAAACTAAATACAAAATAAAAATAAAAATAGGGAACTACTAGGCCTTTTTTTTTTTTTCTTTTCAATTTTGCTTTTACACATTATCTATCATGTGGGTCTCAATCATCGAGACTTCCACTTTTTTAATTTTTTTTTTTGCTTCTCTCTTTTAATTTTTTTTTTTTTTTTTTAAATTAATCAATCTGTTCTTTTCTGAACATGGCCGTTGAATTTCGTAACCAGATTCACACAAATCTTCTTCCTTCAATTATTTCATCTGCTCTTGGCGTGAGATTTGAGGTATGTGTTGGTGTTTGAGTTAGGTACTCTGTTACGTTTGTTCATCTTTTACATCATCTCAAGCTATCCAAATCACCAAACTCCTTTTTTTTTTTTTTTTCTTTTTTTCTTTTTTTGATTGGGGCGTTTGGCAGAGATTTTCTTGTTGGGAGAAAAAACATTTGATTTTTTTTTGTTTTTGTTTTTGTCAGAGAGTGAATTGTAAGTGAGATCAATAAATTTTGCCCCATTTTAAAAGCTTTCTCCTTTTTTTGGTTATTTTAGGTCGCAACTAATTTGGAGTTAAAGGCGTCTGTTGAGATTGTTCCAGATGAGTTTTGTTTGAATGTTTGGTGGTGTTGGGTATGGACCGGAGGAGCTGGCTTTGGCGGAGGAAGTCATCTGAGAAAAGTCCCGGCGAAACTGAGAGTACTGGCTCTGTCTCTTCCCATTCTGAAAGATTCTCAGACGATCAGGTTGCACTTATTTTTACAATGCCTTTGATTCCAACTAACAATATGAGAGACTCATATGGAGATTTAAACTCCAAGACTCTTGTAACCTTGATTGTGTTTAACTTCTTCAGAGATCTCAATCACCGGAATTAATCTCTAAACCGGCTACTAGAGAAGAAGAGGCAACGGCGGACATCAAGATTCTAACGGAGAGGCTCTCTGCAGCTCTTTTAAATGTCAGTTTAAAGGAAGATCTTGCAAAACAGCATGCTAAAGTTGCAGAAGAAGCTGTCTCAGGTTACTTTTTGTTGTCAGCTCTTCCGTTTTGCAGAAATTGAGCGAGTTTTTATATGGCATTCTCTTTGGTTTATAGGTTGGGAGAAGGCAGAGAACGAAGCTGCGGCTCTGAAGCAACAGCTTGATGCTTCTACAAGCAAGGTTTCGGCTCTCGAGGATCGAAATAGTCATCTTGATAGTGCGCTAAAGGAATGTGTGAGACAGCTCTGGCAAGGAAGAGAGGAGCAAAATCAGAAGATCGAAGAAGCTGTAAACGAGAAATGCCAAGAGTGGGAAACTAGAAAATCTGAACTTGAAGCCCAAATTGAGGAGCTCCACGCTAGACTTCAAACGGGAAAAGAAGAGGTCACTTCTACTGCTTCGGTCCATGAAGACCTTTACCCGAAACTCGAGGCTTTAGAGAAAGAGAACTCGGCTTTGAAGCTTCAACTACGTTCAAAAACTGAGGAGGTCAAGATTAGAACTATAGAGAGGGACTTGAGCACTCAGGCAGCTGAATCTGCCAGTAAACAACAGCTGGAAGGGATCAAAAAGCTGACGAAACTCGAGGCAGAATGCAGGAAACTGAGAGTCATGCTTCGGAGATCAGACAATTCCAGTGAGCTCAAATCTTCTATAGATAACCAATCAGACTACTCCGGGAGAGTTTCTTTTAGTGATAATGAAATGCAGAGTCCCTCTGCAAAGATAACCGGAAAAGCTTCGATGGCTCCTTCGGTAGACATTGGTTTAATGGATGATTTTCTTGAGATGGAAAAGCTTGCTGCTCTGCCGCATTCTGAACCGGGAAGAAAACATTCAGAGAGTAACAAGGAGTTAGAGAAATCTAATGCTCAATCAAGCCAACTAAAACATGAACTCAAAGCATCGCTTCACAGAATTTCTGAAATGGAAGAAAAGGTAGAGATGTTAGAGGTAGAGAAATTGCAACTGGAGATGGCTTTGAACGGATCCAAAGAGCAAAGCGAGGCATTGCAGAGTCGACTAAAGGAGACAGAAGGGAAGTTATCCGAGTTGAAGAAACTAGAAGCAGAGAACCAAGAACTAGAGTTGTTGTTGGGTGAATCAGGAAAGCAAATTCAGGATCTTCAGAGACAGTTAAACAAAGCTCAAGTGAATCTGTCAGAATTAGAGACTACACGAGCAGAGAAGCTGGAATTGACCATTTGTTTGAATGGAACAAAGAAGCAGCTTGAGACATCGCAAAATCGGCTAAAGGAAACAGAGAGAAAGTTAACAGAGCTTCAAACTCTACTGCGTCTAACGAAGGATGCAAAAGAAGCGGCTGAGGATGGTATCAAGGCTGCAAATGCGAAAGCTGAAGCGGTTGAATCAAGACTTAGAGATGTCGAAGCAGAAGCTGAATCTTTGATCTTGAAAATCAAATCTCTGGAAGATGTCACAGAAGAGGAACGTGCTTTATCATCAAAACACATTTCAAAGTGCAAAGAACTGCAAGATGAGATCTCAAAACTAAAACGCGAACTTGAGCTTTATCAAGAAACAGAGCATGAGCCTAACCATATGAAAAGTTTTGAGCTGAAGCAGGTAAGTTACTCTACTCTCATCTGAATAAATCATTACGTTTTAATAATAATGATCTATGGGCATATACTTGAAAACAGTGTTAGATACTTAGAAAGCTCCATAGAATCGTAATCAAACAGAATGCATAACAGAGTATTACTCGTAGGGTCTTGCAATTTCATTGCTTTTTGTTTTAAAACTAAAATGTGGCAATGACAGGAGAAGGAATTAGCAGTGGCAGCCTCAAAATTTGCAGAGTGCCAGAGGACAATTGCTTCGCTGGGGCAGCGATTACAGTCACTCGCCACACTTGAAGATTTCTTGATTGAAACTTGAGGAGGAGGAGCTTCATCTTTCCCCATGAATGCTGAAGAGAATCAATAGACCCTGAAATCTTGATGATGACGGTGAGCAGTTGAAACTCGACGAAAGATACTTGGCATCATGAACATAAGTGTAGAAGAGGACACAAATAAACAAAAGGCGTCTCTGCATACATCAGAAAGTAAAGGCTAAGCCAAAACAGAGGATTGAGGTATTTGTCAATAGAAACAATGGAAAGAAAAAGATTATAGGTTTTTCTTTCAATTTTATGTGTGTTAATCCATTCAATTTTTATAAATTTGTTAAGGTCACAAATCAAATACCAAAACAGAACTAAATACAATATATATAATAGATAATATAAAAAGAAAATATAGAGAGAAGAGTAACAAGTTAATATATATATTCTGTTTGTAATTTTAATAGACAAGGGATCAAGGTCCCATCATCATCTCCATAATTTAATCAGACACAGACAGATAAACTTCTTTCAGTTTTGTAACGGTAACTTCTTCTTACCGTTGTGATATTTTACTATGTATGTGTCATGTATACCATGATGAAGCATGCAAGTTTTGTATATATCTCAATCACTCAAATGGGACTAATGGTTATCCCAAATAAGCTGATTTTAACCACGTGGACTCCTCCTTGGCTGCGCCGTTGCAATGACTTGTCCACGTCATCGAAATTGAGATGCAACGTGGTACCATCATTCAAAGAAGCTCTCTTCATCTTAGACGTACGCCTTATTTGTTTCTCTTGATCATATAATATATATATATGAACGGGTAATAATTTTCTCGGTCGGCAATAACCAAAAAAAGAAAAAACTACTGTATTTCGGAAAAGAAAGAAAATGGCGAGTGGGTTTCCGCCGCAGAAGCAAGAGACACAACCAGGGATACAGCATGTCATGGACCCAACTCCCGAGTTCTCTTCCTCTAACTACAAACCTTCCAACAAACTTCATGTATTGCCTTCTACTTGTTTTCTTTCTTTTTTTCGTACGGCATCGCATATTTTGACATAATTCGAGGCTACGATAACTAAAACATAAACATTTGAATGCAAAATCTGGCGTCTTATTCAAACCTACGTGTATCACAAGGTATCTTTGAAATCATCCGCAGGGAAAAGTAGCACTAGTGACCGGAGGAGACTCGGGGATAGGTAAAGCAGTGTGTCACTGCTACGCGCTTGAAGGAGCTAGCGTGGCGTTCACGTACGTGAAAGGTCGAGAGGACAAAGACGCTGACGAGACGCTGCGTTTGCTTCACGAGGTTAAGACGAGGGAAGCTAAAGAGCCGATCATGATCGCTACTGATTTAGGGTTTGAGGAGAATTGCAAGAGGGTCGTTGAGGAAGTTGTGAACGCTTTTGGACGCATCGATGTCCTTGTGAATTGTGCTGCTGAGCAGCATGAGGTTTCCATTGAAGATATCGATGAGGCCAGGCTTGAGAGAGTGTTTCGTACCAACATCTTCTCCCAGTTTTTCTTGGTCAAGTGAGTCAACAAAAAATCCTGATACTCGGACTCTGGTTTGGTTATTAGCTAGGTACCGGTTAATTAATTGATCCGGTTAGTGTTTAAACCTTATTATGTACCGCAATTGATCATAGGTACGCGTTGAAGCACATGAAGGAAGGGAGCAGTATCATCAACACGACGTCGGTTGTAGCATACGGAGGAAACTCAAGCTTACTGGAGTACACATCTACTAAAGGAGCAATTGTTTCCTTCACACGTGGCTTAGCTCTTCAGCTTGCACCAAAGGGCATTCGCGTTAACGGTGTAGCTCCTGGTCCGGTCTGGACTCCACTGATAACCGCATCCTTCTCTGACGAAGCGATCAAGCAGTTTGGATCAGAGACACCGATGAAAAGAGCGGCTCAACCTGTGGAAGTTGCTCCTTCCTACGTCTTCTTGGCTTGTAACCATTGCTCCTCTTACTATACTGGCCAGATCCTTCATCCAAACGGTAATTAGTTCTAATTTGAGGTGGTTAATTTGGTTTTGGTTCTGCTTTTCGTGATTGAAGAATTTTAAGGAAAATAATATTTTCATCCGGTTTAGCTTCTTTACGAAAAAATGAATCTGAGTTAGTAAACCGAATCGAGATGTTCCTTAGTCCATCAGAGTCCTCTGTTTCTTGAGTTTAACATATTGATCTCTATTGTGGTCTATTGTAACGCAGACGTGTTTTGGTGCAGGTGGTCTTATCGTGAACGCTTGAGCTTACAGTTGTACATGTCTCGGTTTGGGAAGTTCTTCTTACAAAGAGATCCAGTGTTACAGTTGTGTTATGTAATAAGGTGAAATGTCGTCTGTGTGTTTGTTTTATATGATGAATAATAATGTAAAAAGAAAGAAGCAAATGAATAAAACAAAGTCGTTGGTTTTCTGGTTAGTTTCGTTGAGGAAATGATTTCTTAGCATCACACAAAGTAATACAAATCAAAATAGGTATACCATTATAATCAGTAGTCAGTACAGATCATGTAATGAGTTTCTTTATATGGTACAGATATGATAACAGTGTTGTCTTAGTCTGAGTCTTCCTCGGAGATAAACAAGTAAGGAGTCACTCGTGTTCTTACGTTATGTTCTTCTACTGCTTCTCTTTCTTCACTAGCTGCACCGATCTCTCTTCGGTTGTTCCAGCCTAATCGCTGCTTATAGATTTCATCATAGGCTTCTATGTTCATCCCCGCTGCTAGGAATAGTTCTAGCTCATCCACAAACCGGTCTGTTCTCGCCATTAAAAATGGACGTGCTGCTTCTGAGACGAGTGTTTTGAATTGTTCTTGATTTGTTGCCTCTGCGCTTTTTGCTTCTTGTTTGCGCCTCTGTTCAATTCTGAAATGAGAGAAAGAAAGTCTCTTTCATAAATGTCATTCAGAAGTAGAGACTAATTTACCGTTTTCATGAGCAACTTAAACAAATATATAAATGTCGTCCGCAAAACATCAAACTTCTGCTTTGATCATTAACCTCTCTAGCCAAATAAAGATATATATCCATGAGCTCTAAGATTTAACGTTTTCCTTGAGAGCTTTACCTTTTGCAAAAGGATTCCATCACACCGACCAAATGGAACAGAACTATATCAACATCTTCCTCCTACGGAAAAAATTGAGTTTTAGCAAAAACAAAAACATCTTTGTGAACAACTCAACAAGGACATAAATACCACAAAGGCAGAAATATACAAGAAAAGGGATTTGTACAGAAGCAAACCTGCATTAGAGCTTGGAGCTCTCTCCTCAACCAGGCTTCAAGCCACTTGTTTGGATAAAGAAACTTTTGCAGCTTCCAAAAACGTGCAACATCAGATACATCAGCCACAAAATCTGGTAAGACAGGCCGAGATAGGAAATCTTATAAAACTCTCATTCTTGTATGATAAACACATTTGATTCTACTGACAGACTAAATTAGCAGATTCTCAACTTTTGTATCAGTTCTGAATATTATGCGCAAGGGTGTTTTAATCTTTAGTTTCTCAGTAATATAACATGAACAAAAGATTTTATATTCGTAAGTTCCATCATAAGAAAGAACGAAACAACAGGAGAGAATATGTACAAACAAATGAATTGTTCAGAAAGTGCAGAGGAGGGGAAAAACCTGATTCAGTGTAGTAACATCGCAACCTGTATCTTTGTTCTTTTGTTAATACAAATCTGCAAAACAGAGATGAAATCAGAGTTAGATATATAAATACTCTCAAAGCAAATACATCCAACTATAGAAACCACATGGTAACGTACCCATCTGAAATATTCTGGTCGATATAATGCCGCTCAAAAGAACACCCATCGTAGTTGTGGATGACCGAGAAATTATCTGTCTGCATATTGTTATAGTCATCCCTATAAACAAATTCCTAAAGGTGTTGTGAACAGAAAAGAGCGTTTCTACGAAGGATACCTTACAGAGAGGACATTTCACTGAGGATAATTGCTTAGAGGCCTTGCTGGAAACAACTTTGATCCATTGTTTGATGCAACTGAAACAAAACTTGTCTGCAACACAACAGAAATGCAAAAATAAGATATGCTCTAATCAGTTTATGTTCAAATTTTACGAATGTCATTACCTAAATTATAAACACTACTATGGCCTAGCTAAGATACACCACACACAAGAGCTAATGGGAATTAGCTAATGAATCTGTTTAAATTGGTCACAGAGTCTGTGAGAGGTTCAAAAAACCAAAGATGGAATCTTTGAATACACCCTTAAAACTTCAAACTCTATATGAAATAAAGGGATCATCTATAACTTTGGCGCAGCATCTAATCCACAAGTTTTATCAGAAAAATTGAAAGAGAGAAAAAACGTACGGAAACAGGTATCGAGGTAAGAGTCTTGGAGCATTGGTCCAAGGCAGATAGGACATGGATCTCCATCGGATCCGTCGTCAACAAAACCACTCCCGCCGGCGATCTCTTTCGCCGCCATACCAACCAAGGTCTCTCCAGTTTCTCTCCGCTAATTCAGGTTTACGACGTCGTGTAAATGTAATTAAACACCCATTATGTTATATATCTTCTTTTGCAGAAAATTGCATAATAAACCTAAAACTCTTTTAACATTCAAATTAAACGCGAAACTATTTTAATGTAACAAACTTCACCCGATTCTACTTAAAAGTGTTGTAAATTTTGATGAGTGAGTAAGTTTGCCTTTTGAATTGCTTGATAACAGCAATATGAAGAAGCACTACAAACCAATTCTCTCGCAATTGGAGAATTGCAGATTCATGGTGGAACTGAATCAACTCCATGGGTTGATGATCAAGTCCTCAGTTATCAGAAACGTCATTCCTCTAAGCCGAGTCATAGACTTCTGCACTACTTCTCCCGAGACTATGAATCTCAGCTACGCTAGATCAGTTTTCGAAAGTATTGGTTGTCCAAGCGTGTATATATGGAACTCGATGATCAGAGGCTACTCGAACAGTACAAACCCAGATAAAGCATTGATCTTTTACGAAGAAATGCTTCGAAAAGGGTATTCTCCGGATTATTTCACTTTTCCTTATGTTCTTAAAGCTTGTTCTGGGTTAAGGGATGTTCAATTTGGGAGTTGTGTTCATGGGTATGTTGTGAAAACTGGGTTTGGAGTGAATATGTATGTTTCTACTTGCTTGCTTCATATGTATATGTGTTGTGAAGAAGTGAATTGTGGTTTGAGGGTTTTTGAGGATATCCCAAAGTGGAATGTTGTTGCTTGGGGAAGTTTGATTTCTGGGTTTGTGAATAATAATCGGTTTAGCGAGGCTATTCAAGCGTTTAGGGATATGCAGAGTATTGGTGTGAAGCCAAATGAGACAATAATGGTGGATCTTTTGGTTGCTTGTGGTAGATGTAAAGACATTGCGGCTGGGAAATGGTTTCATGGGTTTCTTAAAGAATTAGGCTTTGATCCATGTTGTCAGTCAAAAGGGATAGGCTTTACTGTGATATTGGCTACAAGTCTCATTGATATGTATGCAAAATGTGGAGAGCTGAGAACCGCAAGGTATCTGTTCGATGGAATGCCTGAAAGAAACTTGGTTTCTTGGAACACCATTATCACAGGGTATAGTCAGAACGGTGATGCAGAGGAAGCAATGCATATGTTTTTGGAATTGCGTTCTGCAGGTTTCGCTCCAGATAAAGTAACCTTTTTGAGTATGCTCAGAGCTTCCATGATTCAAGGATGTTCACAGTTGGGACAAACGATTCATGCATATGTTTCAAAAGCTGGCTTTATGAAGGATGCTGCAATAGTTTGTGCACTTGTGAATATGTATGCTAAAACAGGTGAAGCTGAGAGCGCAAAGCAAGCGTTTGAAGATTTGGAGAAGAAAGATACAATAGCTTGGACCATTGTGATCATCGGGTTAGCCAGTCATGGGCACGGGAATGAAGCATTGAGTATATTCCAGCGAATGCAAGATGAAAGTAATGCTACACCTGATGGAATTACATATATTGGGGTTCTATATGCTTGCAGCCACATAGGTCTGGTCGAAGAAGGACGAAGATACTTTGCGGAAATGAGAGATCTTTACGGCATTGAACCAACTGCTGAACACTATGGATGTATGGTTGATATCTTGAGCCGTGCTGGTTATTTTGATGAAGCAGAGAGATTGGTGAAGACTATGCCAGTACAACCCAATGCTAATATATGGGGTGCATTGTTAAATGGTTGTGAGATACATGAAAATATAAATTTCGCAGATCGGATAAAATCCATGGTTGCTGAATCAGAAGAACTCGGTAGCGGAATCTATGTTCTTCTATCAAATATATATGCCAAAGCTGGCAGATGGACTGATGTAAGGCTAATTAGAGAATCCATGAAAAGCAAACAGATAGCTAAACTTTTAGGTCATAGTTCTGTTGAAATAATGTGATAATTCAGCTTGCCTCATTGACAAATGAAATTTACAAAAGATCCTTAAAGAATATTTGTGTTTACTGCTAAGACCAATAGTACTTTTGAATTAGTTTTTCCTCCAAATAAGAAAAGTCTGAAACTTTTCAGAAAACTGAAATTCAAAAACTCTTGGACGATGTTTGATGTATTATTCAATGTTCATCATCTGTATGCATCAGGTAAACTGTAACCAGGCATGACTATCTTGTCAGCAAACATCTTGCCGGTCTTGGGCATCACATGCCAATGTAGTGTCAAGTTGAATTCTTTTCCGCGAAGATTCTGTCCCTGAAAGATCCCAAACGATGATCAGTTTTCGTATCTACAGAAGTAAAAGCGCAAAAGACTTGGTGGGGTTGTTTAGTGTACCTGATCAATGAAACGGTACTTGTTTGAGACTTGAATTCGGAATTTGGCAAGTTCCTTGTCAGGGATTATGGCATCCCATAGAGAAACCTGCGAGCAAATGTCAAATATCCATAGGTAATTCTAGTACTGAAGGAGTTACAATGGTAAGTCAATCCCTCAGAAGGCTTTGGATTGAGCTGTTATACCTGATTCAGGGAATTCTTCGGGGTTTCATACTCCGCTGCTACGAAAACAAAAAGCTGCAAACATTTTCAGTTTATGTCGGCATACATTTTCAGATAGCATAAGACAAAGGAGTGAAAGTGTTTTTCAGATGTTAAACCTGTTTGGTGTTCCAAGTAAATAGTGACTGCAAGTCTGCTGATATGTCCAATGTCAAGCTGACCTGCATGACAAACAATCGATAGAGGGAACTAGGCTTAGAAGAGAAAGTTACAGATGTGTGTGTAAACTTATTCAATAACAACAAATCAACAATCTGAGAATAGTCTTATAAAACTACTATCACGGGTGTTAATCATATTTCAAAAGCTTTGAGATGAATTACTATACTTGGGGAATTAACCAAGCAACTCATATAACAAGGAAAAAACCATGAAACATTTACCTCATCGTTTCCATGAGATTGCTTCTTAAACCGATTGATATTAAGTATCTGCAACCACAACACAACCAAATTAAAACCCAGGCTTTTCCATGATTCCAAAAGCCATAGAAACAAAACAACTTAAAGACAGTTTAACCCACAATATAGGGGTTAAAAACGAGTTGATTCATCACAAATAAATGCATTCATACGCAGATCCGCCGCACAGGAAGCTATCGTTACATGTAAACGAAAAGCAAACACGTTAAGCATTACCTGGATCTCAGCAGAGGGGTTTTGGTTGCTGAATTTGTCTGAGAAGGACGCGATTGCGCAAATGAAAGCAAGCGCCGTGATTGCGAAAGTGAGCAGAGCATTAGCTCTGTAACCAAAAGTATGCATCTTTAATCAAAAATCCTTATAGCTTTCTCACCGGGGTTGTTATCGCGATCCCCTCTCCGTTACAAATTTTGTCTCTGTGCTGAGGAAGAGAAGACGAAGACGAGCGTTTGTAATAACTTCTCTCTTTACTGATCGTTGCTGTAATCTGATTGGCCGAGCCACGTATCCACCGGTATATATTTCCCCGGTTTAATATATATAAGTCTGTTTCAGAAATTGTTATGTAAATTTACTAAAATACTTGTCAAACTAATATAATATTTCTAGATATTTTTGACTAAAAAACTTAAAGCATATAAAGGATTTTTTTAATAATAATGTATCAAACATTGATTTACTTCACTGATTAAATCAGAATTGGTTTAGTACTAGGCATGGTATGCTACTCTTCAGGCCCAAGAATAAAGAGTACCAAAATATTATCAATTGTTCCTCTAAAAGCCCATCAGCAAAGGCGTGGTAAGAAAGTTGAGAAACACAAGTGTCTCTGTCTGCATTGTATCTGGCCAGGCCAATATAATGAATTCAAGTTTTGACAAGGAGGACTCAAAACAATTTCAAGTGAAATCATTGGAGTGGTTTCTCCAATCATGCACTAATTTGACCTTTTGAAAAAATTACTTGGTAACTAGGACATAATGGCTAATTCTCAAAGATCTTATCCACACTTTTTTTAGGTTATATTTTTGCGAAACATCATAATCTATACACAGAAGTCTCAAGGTTGGCACTTTATGGGTCAAATTAAATATGGTATGATCACATTAGTAGTGGCACACTATACAAGTTTATAATGCTGTTATACCTACTATAGAGTCGGCTGCAAAATCCTTTTCACACAGATAAAGAGAAGACAAAAGATATAAACACTAAATCTTTACTTTGTGTGTATCCAATAACACAGCCTACAATAAATAACCATTCTTTTCCCAAGTCGAGATATTATAAACATCATTCCACTAACAAAATTAAAGCACATTTTGTTGTTACCAATCCTCGAAAGACAAAAAAAACAAAGATAAGGACAAGCCAAAAAAAAAAAAACCGTAAGACTAAGACAAACATTCATGTCCATATTCTAATTTAACATTACATGATACTACAACTACCAGGATTCTCATCGCTGAACATATGAGTATAAGAATCCGAGTGAGGAGGAGGCATTGGAGGCGGATGAGCGTAATTTACTGCAGGATAAGGCCGAGCATACATCATTGGATGGTACATGTCGCCACCGTGACCACCACCATAGCCTCCATGAGCTGCAGCTTGTTGCTGTTGTTGCTGTTGTTGCTGGTGGTTCATCATCATTTGCATATACTGCTGCTGGTTCATTTGATGGTTTGCCTGAGGTGGTGGTGGATAGTAACCCCCGCCGCCGCTCATCGGTAAGCCTTGAACCGCCGGGTAAGCTCCGCCCTGTCCCATCGGTCCCATCGGACCACCTGGACCCATCATACCCATTGGACCGCCTGGACCCATCATACCCATCGGACCACCAGGGCCCATCGGACCGCCTTGTCCCATTGGACCACCAATCCCTTTGGCGCCATGGTTATGATTGGCCTTGTTACCTCCACCCCCTCCTTTGCTGTGCTGCTTCATGAGCTCATCAATATCATGGCCCCCATGGGCTCCGCCTTTAGACCCACCTCCACCTTTTTTAGGCCCACTATCATAATGCTGAACTCCACCTCCTCCCCCACCAGGTGCTTTGACTTTATTACCCCCAGCCCCATCTTTCTTCCCTCCGCTCTTCTTCTCATCTCCTTTCCCACTGCTACCCTTTTTGAAAAACCCTAGAAGGCCACCACCACCACTTTTGGCATCTGTTTTCCCGGTTTTGCCCCCACCTCCTTTATTCTCTTTCCCTTCTTTCTTACCCTTGTCACCTCCTTTAGCTCCTTTTTTACCATCCTTTCCATTTTTACCCTCACTCATTCCCTTCATTTGCACCGGAATCTCAAACCCACCGCCGCCTTTCTTTCCTCCGCCGCCGGCAGCACCGCCTTTGAACCCATTCATCATCATCATAATCTCATTAGGCCCCTTGGGTCCAGCACCACCACCCATCTGAGGCATTTTGTTAGGCATCATCATCTTATTAGGAGGCATGTGATTACCTCCTCCATGTCCTCCCATCTCCTCATCGTCATCTTCATCATCATCGAACTCATCATCATCATCATAATCATCCTCACTGAAGTCCTCGTCATCATAATCATCCTCACTAAACTCATCGTCATCATCTTCCGCAAACTTAACAGACTTCTTCTGGTCCTTAGCTGCAACAGGAGGCATTTTCATCTGACCGTTACCACCACCACCATGAGCAGCAGCAGCCTTCATCATCATCATCTGTTGAATCTGCTGAGGAGTCAATTGCATTGGTTGACCATGTCCATGACTCTGACCTCCTCCTCCTCCTCCACCAGCTTTACCCTTCACTTGGTTACTCTCTTTCCCACCTTTAGGCTTACTATTTCCATTCATGTTGAGATTTGCGAACTGCCCATTCATGTTAGGGAACCCTTTCCCTCCTCCGCCCCCGCCTCCACCACCGCCTAAGATCTCGGCATGTTTGCCTGATTTGCTGAGTTTCTTCACCAGAAGAGCTGGATCAACGTTTCCGGTGACAGTGACTCTCCCCTGTTCTACATCTGCTTTTACAGAGTAGACGCCTGAAATCAAGGATAAACATAACAAGATAGTCAATTTATGTCAGAACTTTCCCAAGAAAGTAACATAATTTGGGTGAACGGACATAACAAGGAGAGTTCATTTGAAAAAAAATTGAAACTTTGGACTCCATGGTTAAAATTAGTAACTTTTATGTCAGTTTTTCCAAACAATTCAAATAAAATTCTTCCTCTAGTTTTGGGAAATTGACATAAATGGAGCACACACCGATGGTAAATCTCAAAACTTCAAACTCTAATAGTTTTTGGAAAAGATCTTTGATGTGAGAGAGGAAAGTATCACAAAACAGGGAAAACACACACAACACAGTTCATAAATTTCAGAGCTTTCACATATCTGAGCTGATAATATTTTTAAAAAAACTCAAATATTTATAGATCCGTGACTTCTGAGGAGAACCCACTTCATATATATCAGACTTATGTGTTTATCTTAAAAACCAGCTTCACCAAATTAACATTTTGAAATGACCATACATATAGAGCAAGAAGAGACCTTCAATTTTCTGCAACTGTTTCTTCACTTTATGCTTACACCCTTCACAGTGTACGTTCACTTTCAGTACACATGTCTGCAAGAACCAAATCCGAGCAAACAATTAGCTCCAATAATATATATACACACACAGAGAGAAGCTTGGAGAAAGAGAAAATAGGAAGAAGAGAAGGAGACGTATACCTGAAGTTTCATAACATCTTGTTTATTCATAACTTCTTCTTAGATTTGTGTGTGTTTTCACAGACACAACTATGGTTATAGATATAGAGATAGAGAGAGAGAGAAAAGAGTTTCAAACTCAACTCTTTTGTTCTTCTCCTTTATGAGTTTCTTTCTGAAGAGAAGAAGAGAAATGGTGAGAGAGATTATAAGAGAGAGAGAGAGGGGGGGGAGGTGCTTTTGTGTAATAAAGGCGGTTGTTGTTGTTTAAGAAGGACAGAGAGAGAAGAGAGATGCTGAGAAAGAAAAAAAAACACTCAAAACTTGTGTTTTGTTTTATCTCTGTTTCAGGGTTTCTTATTTCTCTGTCTGTAAAAACCTAAGAGAGAGAGAGGGCGGTGGCACAGGTAGCAAGGAAATCTCCCAACTTTGATTTTCCAAAATATCTTTTTAAAATTGACACTTTTTTTTATATTACTACAACTAATTCTTTAATTCTTTTAATTTTTTTTAAAAAATATGTACTTTTGCTTTGTTTATTATATTTCTCTTTTGGTTACAGAGGTGAGGGAACGAAGAAGCTTAAAGGCAGCTTCTTTCACTTTGGGGCAGAACTGGAGTACAGTACAGCCTCAGCTTCGTCATTTGTACTTAGCTGTATTCGTCTCTTCCACAATACGATTTGATTAACACACACACACATTCGAATATTTAAGGTTCCTTAATTACATTACCAAGCTGTATTTTGTTTCTTTCCTAATTATATCGTCTGTTTATTCGTAATTTTCGTATATCTAATGTGTGGTTTAGATGTAAAATCACCTTTATTTCATATACATATATATATATATATATATATATATATATATATATGATCAATAATTTATGTTTGTCATCTTGTTATCATGTAGTGGTTTTATCTATCTACTGTTATATAAAAGAAAAAATCGATTATTAAATTGCTTGCTATTCGCATTTTGTCAAATACTGTACTATTTTTCTGCTCTGTTTTTTTTTTTCTTCTTTTCTCGAAATGTCTATATCCAAATATTAAAACACAGACGTGTTAAGTAATTCTCCAGATATTTTGTTTAGTTAACGTAACAATTGTTTTAGACCTTGAACTTATCTCTAATAAGTAAAGTAATGGTCGTAGCATTTCCTTGCAAACTTAGATCACTAGCTCCTACAATAATTTACGTATGACACTGATATTAAGATGAAAAATTTTCAGGATCGTAATTATGATTGGTGATCGATGATTTTAATTATCCGTTGACGAGATGGTTCAGTAGGATCCAATGGCAAGCAATACAGCAAATGTCATTGCCACCACCAAAATGGACTAGTTTAACAACATCTATTACGCAAAGTCGCAAACACTACTACTAGTGTGATTGAAGTCATTTATTAAAAGACTCTTATAATGCTAAATTATGCGATCTAGATCTTACATTAACATACCACATACTAAAATGTATCTTCTTCTCGATAAACTGTGTTAGATTGTCACATAATGTGGGTTAGCTCGATTGGTCAAAAATATATATAATAATAATAATTCGATTTAATTTATAAGTAGTAGCATCAAATCACATCAAATCTTTTGACAACCCGATTAGAAAACTGAAAAATAATATGTAACAACTATAAACGTATTTGAGTTCCTCTAACATATAAAACCAAACTCAGTTTTTTTTTTTGTTTATATGTTTCATGACTCAAGAAATAAACCAAAAAGTGAATTTAATAACTATAGGTAGATAAAAATTTAAATAAAAAATGTTACGGGGATACTATATTATACAATTAGAAAAGAAAAAAGAAGGGGACAATAATGTTGATAGTTTAAAATGGGTCATATGTACAGGTAAGGTCGCTTCCACTCTTTGCTGTGGATAGAGTTCTCTTTGGGCCACCTTTCAACCACCAATTAGTTCCGAAACATATAATAATTTATTATTGAATGAAATGAACTATTTATTTAATCGTATAGTTGAAATATATTATTTTGCGAGTTACATATATTGTTTTTGGTATAAGAAATTCGACTTAAATTGCTAATGCATGTGACGCATGTGCACCACTTCACTAAGACCATAGATAGTAAACGATATATATTTCACTTCATACCAATGTTGAAACAAATCCATACACTATTGTTAAGGAGTACTTTATTAGTCTAATAGAGGTTTTTTTTTTTAATTCCACATCGTGCAGCTTTAATAAACTTTCGTAGAACTTTGACTGAGGTATCAGTTATATTTTAAAATAATTAATTCCCAACACTAGGCGAGTAAGCGGTAGATGAAATACACGTGTAAGTCCGTGACGCTATAGGGAACAATCTATCTATATAGATATAAATAAATAACTAAACCGATGCAAGTAAAAGAATACTACTACTACTACTTTACTACTCATAGTTATAAAATAAAATAATAAAAACATAACTAACGTTTAAGAGGTACTCTACGGACTAAGCTTAAGTTAAGATAGACACGCATGTCACTGAAGTGGAACCATATACATAGGCATAGCAGGTCGGTCCATGCAACCTTAGAAGTCAAATTTATATAATACGAAAGCTTATATATATTACGTAAAAAAATATTATGATGGGATACAAATTTCGATTGTATAATTTTTGAGCAATCATTATCTTAGACAGTTGTGTTTTTTTTTTTTGTTTCTAGATTACAAAATTACCATTATATATCTTTCTCATATGTTGTTGTTTTTCGTCTTATATATCAAGAAACAAACCCAACCTCGTGACGAACATTGCTGTCAGTTTTTTTAATTTCTTTTGTTGTCACCTACATATATCTATCACTTTGGTTATTTTCCTCAATTATTCAAATTATCTGCTTGCTGTCACTAACTAAGATACCGTTACAATATGCTTAAGCAAAACTGTAAAACTCTGTTACAGCTCTATAATATTTCTACAGTTTTTATTAAATTATTTATTTTTGAAGAAGAAACTAGGCTTTGCTTTTCCTTTATCTTTTTTTTCCACAAAATTTCTTATCATAAAATTGATAATATTAGTTGCTTTTAGTACCACTACTATTATATATGGCTTTGACTAATCAACAAAAATTTGTTATAAAGAATTTTGGACTCATTGTAAGGATGTGGGGTATTTTGAAGCACATGCCAATGAGTATCCAAATCAAACTGTTGTTTTATCAACTTATTATCTTGTCTTTTGCTTTTTTAGACGCTGGACCTAAATCCTCCTCTCTATTCTCAACTCCACTGCAGTAAGCTTCTTTTATTCTCTCCAATTAACTGAAAATAATTTGTTCTATTTTGAAATATATATTTAAATCAGTCTTTGACAACACATATCGTGTTCACAGCCAGGTTTATAAGCCGAAGTTCTAACCCAAAAAAAAAAAAACTACCTACCTTTTCCTCAATTGAAATACTAACATGAACACAAAAAAAAAGAGCTTTTAGAAGTATATGATGAATTCCAAAAAAATAAAGAAGGTGTTCTCGTCATAATTTAGAAGAACGTGGTTTTCTATATAAAAATAAAAAAATAAACTGTAAAACTATATGTGGCAGCAATTTGATGATTATTGCCATATCAGCTTTTATCTCCTCTTCTTCTACGAAACATGCATGCTTCCATATCGACTGCAGGTTTTGATTCGCGATCCTAGTACAGTAGAATATCAAAGTATTTCTGTATGATCTTCTTTTTAAAGTATACAATATTATGTAACAAATCATGAAAATAATATTATGTAAATAGTATTTTCATATGGAGGATATTTATTGTTTGTTTCGTTAAATATATATATTCAATTATCAATTAGTGAGTAATTAAATTAACCGACCCTAATCAGCTGCATATAATATATCTAAACATAAATAATAGGTATAGACATAATATGACTATATTCCCGTCATCTCATGAAAATTAGGGATGTGTATGTATACGACCGACCAGCAAAAAGAACAAACACAAGAGCTTAATGTTTCACGTGTTAGGTTTGATTTCAAAGGTCAAATGACGAATGAGATAAGATACGTGTGGGATATACTAGACGATGTTTGTTAGCAGTCGAAATCTCAAAACAAAAGCAAATTTGTCAACAACACCTTTGACTTCATTTTTGAACATATATAATATGTATCCCTCATCACTAAGTTTCTCGCAACGAAACCATCCAATTGCATTCATGAAACACATGTATTTGAACATTTTCGTATCACTTTTCTATAAGTCCATTTCTTACAATAAAGTTAAATCATAATACTATACATTGGTCACAATATATCATCTCATTACTCCACAACAGATAGATGAGTTAATTGACTAGAGAAATATCACCCCACTTCCCAACAGATGTAGAGATCGACACCTTACATAAATTACTCATTTGTATTGACATAGACTAAAGATATTTTATTTTTGTTTGATTCTGATGAATTTCTGAGATATCTATCTTAACATTTTTTTAAGTACAAATGTGAAAACACAAAAAGTTGAAAAAAGCTTTTTTTGATTGATATCATGGGGGCTTAATATCCTCCCATATAATTAATAAAGGGAATAATATATTTGATGTAAGTTTACTATTTTTTACCATAGTTGTCACTTGATTCAGATTATATACATACTGTTTCATAAACTGAAAGAATCTGTGAATAGGAAAGTGAATGATTAGCAACAACAATGGTAAAAAGAAAAAGAAAGGGAAAGGGAAAGGGAGACTCAATAAGAGAAGATGTGTAGCATGCATATTGTAAGGATGTATCACAGCTGGAAGCTTTGGACTGCATATCCAAAATTGGGTCACAAACTTTTGAGTACATATATATTAGGACATCTTCATGGTATCTATCAATGTATCTATATAATTTATATGTATATAATTTATTAAAGCGATCGAGCTCTGTATTGTTTGGTTAGGTACAAATCCATCAACTTTTTTTGAATCTATATGAGTGTACATATGTGTGCAATAGACACATAAGCCCTTACTTGCAAGGACACCTACCCTTACATTGCATACATACACAAGTGACAAAATCACTAAAATATCTCATCTTTTGCCAAATGACACATTCTTGTTGATGATAAGAAGATGGTGATTTTAGTGGCTCTTGTTGTTTTATTTTCTTTTCTTTTTTTTGGTTTTAATCTTGATTAGGTATTTTAAATTTTTTATCATATAAGAGCAAAATTCACATGATGAACTTACCCACTATATGGGATGATTCATACAAAATTTTATAAGCGGGGAAATAAATATCTTGCAATCTAAATAGTATATAATCTCACCAATAAAAAGAGTTAAAAGCCATAAAATTGGTTGGTAACGACTAACGAGTAATAATATAGCATGAAAGTTAGGTGATGGAAAACGTTTTTTTTTGTTG